ACTGTTGCGGACTGCTTGCGGACTGCTGAAGCTTATAGGGAATCCAGATGTTTTGGATTGTTGGGTGTTTCTGTTTTTGCCTTTGTGAAGCGCTATGAGATGACTGTTGTTGTAAATATGCGCTATACAAATAAAATTGAATTGAATTGAATTGAACCACTTACATGCAGTGGTTGAACTTTTTCTTTCTGCATTAAAAAAAAATTAAAAATTATATATATATATAAATCTGGTATTTCCAGATAGTCACTGTTTCATCAAATTACATGTAATAGGTAGTGAAATCACACAAAAAGTCTTAACTTACATGTTGGTATGTTCATAGTAAAAATAGGAAAAATATTGTACAAAACAGGCCAAAACTGTAAACATGGTCCACATCAAAAATCAGTACTTTAATGAACGGTAACAGACTTTTTTTTTTTTTTTACAATGTGTGAAAAGAGAAAAAGAAAAAGTATTTATTTACATGCTGACACTAGGAAAAAAAAGGTCAAAACTATGCATAATTGCTGCATCAAAAACCTGTATCCTTAGAAATACTCATTTGTTCTTGTGTTACTGTATTTAAATCAGCTTCGATATAATTATATATTTTTTTAAAGATTTATTTTTGGGCTTTTCCGCCTTTAATGATAGTTGGAAGTGAAAGATAGACAGAGAAACATGGGGAGGAGAGTGGGGGAATGACATGCAGCAAATGAGCCGCTGACTGGAATCAAACCCAGGCCGCTGCGTCGGGGACTATAGCCCCTGTATATGGGTCGCCTGCCCTACCCGCTGAGCTATCCAGGCGCCCCGACATAATTATCTTAAAACGTTCGCCATTGTTGTCATTGGTAGATTTCCATCTTTTTTTAATAGACATATTTTTACAGTGCACTGACAAATCAGCTGCTTATATATAACAAAAAAAAAAACTCAAAAAGTATCTCTTCATCAGTGTTAAAGACCTTTAGCCTGCTTGGATGAAGTCACCTGTGTTTCTCCAAACATCTTAGTTTCTCGCGAAGTATCATGTTAGATAGACTGTAATATAATATTGTGGTGTCATGGGAAACTTCATATCTCTGGACAGTCAGCGCTTTTGTGAAAGGACACTGTCAGGATCGGAGCAAGTGATCTCAGCGTGGTGGATCAAAGCGAAAGGGATATTTGAGAAACTACCTCGGATACGTGCCTCAACAAATGCTGTGAATGCTGGTTTTGGATGTCATGCAGAACATCCTGCAGAGATGCTCATGACTTTTACCACCTATCACTGATACAATAAATGCTCCTCAGTCTGCAGTGTATAAACACAAACAGATTCTTCTTTACAACACAAGTATCATCGTCCTGCCTCCTGCAGCCACGGATCTGTTTGGTCCTCAGGTTGTTAAGTAGAGACCAACCAGGCTATTGTTGTGTCCGTATCATCAAGACTTTAGAAGACCTGTTTGGTAACCTGACAGGGGAGTATCTCTCCTCCATCCACTTCCCCTCCCCTCCCGCTGTCATTTTTTGAGGACACTCCCCTTCGCTTACGAGTCAGTGGTGTGAGATGCGACTCCACCCTTTTTTGTGCCGCCTGGCCAATAAGAGGATAACAAACGTGTAAATAGTGAGATGGGGAGAGGATACAGATGACAGGCTGCATGTCAGGGGACAGGTGTCATTTGTCACTCTAGCCTCAGGGGTATCTGTCTGTTGCCTTGCCGGTATTAAGCAGACAATGGTGCTCATTTGTACCAAAGCATCAACAGTGTCGCTGCTATAGTGATGGACAGAATAAGCTGTTACACTGCAGCATGAGCGTAGATGCAAGTTGGCTGTTTAGTTGATTAAATAACCATCCATCCATCCATCCATTATCTATATACCGCTTAATCCTCATAAGGGTCGTGGGGGGCTGGAGCCCATCCCAGCTGACTCAGGGCGAAGGCAGGGGACACCCCGGACAGGTTGCCAGTCCATCGCAGGGCCACACTTAGAGACAGACAACCAAGCACACTCACATTCACACCTACGGACAATTTAGAATCACCAATTAACCTCAACATGTTTTTGGACTGTGTGGGAGGAAGCCGGAGAACCTGCGCTGCACGGGGAGAACATGCAAACTGAACAGAAATATCCTGGGTGTCCTCACCGGGACGCGAACCGGTGACCTTCTTGCTGCGAGGCAACAATGCTACCAACTGCGTCACCTTGCAGCCCCATGAAATAACCAATTTGTCTAATTGTTTGCTGGAGGAGAAGCGATTGCACAAAACCAGAAATGACCTTTGACCTTTATTGGATGTGATACTGTTGGGCGTGTACTCATCCACGACGGAATGTGGATCCCAGCTCCTGACTGACAACATACCGAAGCTGCTTAGTAAAATAAGATGAAGATTGTGCCACATGTCCCTGAGCACGGCCTGTCCCCAACGTCATCACATCTTTACATCAGTGCTGTCACCTGTTTTCACAACTCAAGGCACTGCAGTCATTCAGGCACTTTGTTAACATTGTTTTTTTTTGTTGTTTTTTTTTTCAAAAGCAGCTGCATGTTTGGAGATATTTGAATTCATTTGAACAGTTCATTTGAAAAAACAGATAACTTCATCTTCACAAACCTGCAGAAAACCTACTTTTCCATCATCTACAGACAATATCAATCAAATTCAAGTTATCTCTATTTTTGTCATCATTTATTTCTTTGTAAAACTGTTTCCCTGCAAGTATTTTGTAACATTTATCGATGCAACACATAAGTATAAGGGTCATAATGAAGCGACCAATGGGAACATGGATGAGTTTGCACAATAAAACAGAATTTGCACATAATGGGATAAGATAAATGTCACCAGTTTGCACAAATTTTTGGGTCATCAGTGTAGAGATTAAAAAAATAAGTAAAAAATTAACTTGATAACCACCGCATGACAACTTCCATGTAAATCCTGTTCCTCTAACTCTTACCTGAACATTTACTATCATCCATCCATCCATTATCTATACACCGCTTAATCCTCGCGAGGGTTGCAGGGGGGCTGGAGCCTATCCCAGCCGACTTAGGGCGAAGGCAGGTTGGACAGGTTGCCAGTCCATCGCAGGGCCACACTTAGAGACAGACAACCAAGCACACTCACATTCACACCTACGGACAATTTAGAATCACCAGTTAACCTCAACATGTTTTTGGACTTGTGGGAGGAAGCTGGAGAACCCAGAGAGAACCCACACTGCACGGGGAGAACATGCAAACTCCACGCAGAAAGATTCCGGTGCCCCAACCGGGACGCGAACCGGCAACCTTCTTGCTGCAAGGCAACAGTGCTATTTACACCCATGATAAATCCATTTTTAAAAATAATTATCATTGACCAGCTCTTCACAATGACACTGTCAGTTATTGTTGAACTTCATAAAAACAATACAGCTTCCTTTTTTCTGTGTATCTTGTTGATAAATTACTTCTCAATTGCTACTAATGCCACACCACCACTTTCACAGTGACCCCACCTGGCTTGTCTCTGCTCCATAGCGAACAGCTGGGGGTTTCATGGAGAAGGTTTATTAGACGAGTGAGAGGGATGTTTTCTGGCTGTTTGCTTTCATTTCTCAGGACGCCTTGTTCTACACAGATAAAGCTGCATTTTCACCCCTATATGATCTGATATCTCTCTTTCTTGAATCTTGTTCTACGTTCGACATCTTTGCTTAATGTAGAGATTAAAAGTCTGGAGGAGATTCCACCCTTCTGTGGATTTTTTGAATATTGAATTTATATTTTATATATTGAATATATTGAATTTCCCTTCTGGGATAAATAAAGTATTTTTCATTTCATTTCATTCATTCATTCATTTCATTTCATTTCATTTTGAAACAGAAATACAGAAATACAGAAGAAACTGTTCTCAACATATTTTGCGATGCCATATCAGTTTCAGTCATTTCAAGAAAGAAAACCCCTCATGACAGCACCAAAATCTTTTCCCATTTGGTAAAGAAAGCAAATGAAGTTCCCAATGAGCTGCTTTAAAGAAAAAAGAAGCATTAGACTGTACACGTTTAATATTTGCTCCTGTATTTGAATGAAATAACTGTTGCTACTCTTGGTAATTAATAGAGGAGTGAAGGGTTTTTGTCAATAAAGAGTTTATGTATTAGTCAAGATATTGTAGATAGTCGGTGTCTTTCTGTTCAAACAAAACCAGCAGGTGAAACCCGCAGATCAGTCAAATGAGATGCAAAGCTTTTGTTTATGTTGGCTTGAGAACGTAAAATTCTCTGCCGTCCAATGACAAATCTGCTCGTTGGCAAAAGGAAGCAAGGAAGAGTTTGATGGTGATTAGTTTAAGCACTCATCTGCTCTGTGTGCAAGTTTTTAATCTGTTCTAGATGGAGAGTAATGGCAATGTCTCCAGGAAACATAATGGTAAATAGTATAATGGACATCCAGTTTATCTGGTCTTAAAATGATGAGCTTTGTCAGTGAAGAGCTTCTGGGAAAATATTCAGTGCTGAGAACAGTTTAAATTTCATGTTTTGCTATAATCTAACCATGAGAATCTTTACAGGGTGTACATTTTGCTTTTTGTATATAAAAATCATCTAATTTGCCTGAAACTTTATAAGTAGAATTTCATTTTATTAGTGTTTGATATATCAAGCTAATATTTCATAAATATCTCCAATGAATATCTGTATTTTATGCTATAAAGATTTCAGTCAAATCATGGATGGTTGAGCCAAAATTGCTATAAAATCTGACAATTTGAGATGGAATACTTAAAAAAAACAAAAAAACCCACCAATGTTTGTAAATAAACAAAACTTAATTCATTATAGTTTTCACAGTTGTGTGCAGATTCTGTGGTTTCTCCCACGTTGCACTGTGGGAGAATAGCACACCAAGTTTACGTTTTTTTGTAGTATAGTAATATGGAATGGAGACACTATACAGTCTAGTTTATCCAAGCCATTATACAATTACAGTTGAAACTCATTAACGAGAGAGACACATAAATAGTTTTTCCTTTATTAAAAAAAAAAAAAAAGAGTAGTATCATTTTAACGACTTGTGCATACATTCGACTGTGAAGGGGAACATCATGCTTTGCACAAACCAGTATGTGCCTTGAACCCACCGCATTAAAATAAAACATCATGAAAAGCAGAAGCAACATAAATAATTTAATGGCATGAGGAACAAAGAGAGTTTCTTCAGCACTTCAGTGGGACACCGAGCAGCACACTATTGCAAATGATGAGCACGTTCTTGCAGCAGTATCTTATACAGGAAACTGGGCAGGTGTCCAAAAGGTTTGATTGACGTAAGTTAAATAACAGCTGCACAATGTAAAGGTGAGACTGGCTCTGCTGGAAAAAAAAACACCACACTGTGTTTGGTGCTAATATTTCGCAGGTGCTCTATTTTACAGCCAGCCAACAATCAAAAACCTTCTCACATGTATTTCCATAAATAAATAAAAGAATCTATTACATATTTACAATATTTCTTGATTAAAATTTACAAAAGGCAACACCAGAGTGGACTGCAGAGTGTTTTACAAAAAGTATTTACAGAAACTATTTACAGTGTTGTGATAAGTCATCAACTACAATCACTCTTTACTTAATTATCTTCATTCGACAAAAAGAACATTACTATCATTGTATTCAAAAAAAAAACTCAGCAGCTTTTTTATTTACAATGTAAACCATCTGCGGTTCTCCACGCTCACATCCAATTTGGAGATTGGACACAAAAGGAAAACTTCAATAACACGAGACAACTGATTTAAATCCAAGTTATTTTTGAGGCAGACTATAATGGATGATAGTGAAGATAAACGCCTCTGATATGGGAGCCAAACAAATGTGCAACTCTGTATCTAGGCTCATCCTGGAAGGCCACAATATGACATAATGATGCTAGAAAGATCAATAAGGTATTTACTTAATGTACACACAAGTAAACTACCAGTGTGTGGCTGGAAGGCACACATGAGGGTAAAGACAGTAAAGCTCAAGCTTTTCAAGGTAAACCTGCAGAACAAAAAGTCTTGCATTAGATAAACAGCGCTCTAAAGCGATGTGCTGGTTGCAAACTATCTGCATTTTAGCAAGGAACAGGCGATATTCAGAACGCATCAAAAGAGTCACAGCTCTAGAATTAAGAGCATCATCTTCTGAAACCATGCAGTATTCCTTCATCCTGAAACAATTTTGTGGTCTAGCTAAATGGCTTCTTGTGTTTTGCCATACTAAAGTTTCAAAGATAGTTTGTTTTTTTTTTCAGTTCTTTTTGCAGACTTGGACGGCACAGTACTGAGGTCAGAAACATAAGCCACAAAATGAGGTCACTGGGGGAAGGGAAGGAGAGTTGTTAACCAGCAGCAGTAGAAAAAAATGGCCTTTACTTCATGTTTCCATCAGGAAAAAAAAAAAAATCACTTCATTTAAAGCCAGTGTTTTCTTCATCTTCAGGTCATGCAATATCCATGTCGTCCATGCTCACCATTTGCCTCTGAAAAAAAAAGTAGCATTGCATAAGCAAAGTTTGTACAACTGTATGCTTGCTGTGAATATTCAGAGACAGTATTCACTCATAATAAATCAACTTGTAAGGTGAAGATACCTGAGGATACACGTAGCCGTCGGAGCTGTTCCTGCAGATGTGCACCTCATCCTCGGTGGTTTTTTGGTAGACGGGGTTGTCGAAGTGGATGGTGTTGGTGTTCTTCAGACGCCAGTGTCTCCATAGCAACACTGCTCCAAATACCAGCAGGGACATGAGCACTGCGGAGCGAGAGAGAAGATGAAGGTAATCCGGTGAGATTAGGGGAAGAAGTAAAAATGAGATTAAACCGCCTTTGAAGAGTTCAAACTTGGAACTTACTTATTGGCACGACAATGTAGAGAGCAAGAGGATGGGATGAAGGAGCTTCTTCAGGCCCGGCTGCCAGTCTGTTCCCTGAAAATACAGAGAATACGATGCTTTATTTATGGGGTTCCTTAGATCAGAAGATATATACCACAAGTGTTTTTTTTGCCACTTATCAAACACAAATATCTAGAACTCCTCCCTGTACCTTGAGCAGTAGTAGCAGGCCTCAGTGTGCTCTTTGCAGGCTGGGTAGTCCAGGTAGATGAGGGTTCTTTGGTGGCTTTGGTGGTGGCTGTGGTAGTTGTAGTTGTTGTACCAGGCTGTCTAGTTGTTGTAGGCTTGGTGGGAGGTGGAGGAGGTGCATCAGTTTTGTTTTTGGCAGAAGGGGCGATTAACTCTACTGGGAAATGAAAATATAAGGGTTAATGTCACAATTTAATCAAGATCCATTTCTTTTTTTTTAAAGTGATATGTGCAGGAGACATCTACCTGTCACACATTTCCTCATGTCAGCTCCCAAGAACATGTTGTCAGGACAGGCGCAGGTGTATTTAGGAGAGTTCTGGTTGATCTGAGGGGCAGGAAGGCACAGAAACTCACAGCCTCCATTCATCCTGTTACCTTCTCTGCACCAGTTTGTACCTAAAAACAAACAAAAAAACAACATTAGAAGAAGTGATACAGTTTGGTGCTTTGTTACGGTAGCTCTCAAATGTAGTCATGTTTCTTTACCGATTGGCTGCTTAAGGTTGTGGTACAGTAGGATGTCCTCCGGCTGCTCGAGGTCCGTTGCCAGTGTGGTGATGTCCTTTCCTGTCAGGCGGTTGGCACTGAAAACTGCTTGGCTGTTCATGTCTGTCCAAAATACTTTATCCTGTTTACAACAAAAATGCAAATTATACAATACACTTTGGCAACACTGCTCGATCAGTTTTGTCATAACTCGCTACCAACACAAATTAAGATTATTATTGAAGGCTGATCAAGAATTAGCACCACTGATCCAAATTCATAAGAAATAAAGTGTACGCCCAGAAGTTAAAGCTCTGACTTTATAGTTTAAACCATTTCAGCCGGATAACCACCAATGAACTGCATTACAGTCTGACTGACTGACTGACTGACTGGTTTGAAGTAGATTGGGTACTTTTTGAAGTTGCACAAAGATATGTAATGGAACCACCTTTGGCATTATGATTTTAATTTTTCTGGCGAAAATGATTCATTCTAAGCAGCCACTTTATCAAATAACTACCATTAAATGCTAATTTTATGACAACCTTCAGTGACTGCATTTTAATGTGAAAATACATAGACTTCATCACTAACCTCAAAGACATCCAGGGAGAATGGATGGGGGAGCTTTTCCTCACTGAAAATCAGACTATGCCGGGTTCCTCCGTTTACATCAATGCTGGACAGAGTGTGCAACTTGGTGTCGACCCAGTACAGACGCTGGTTCATCATGTCTGTACAGAGAGAAAGACCGGTTGCTGCAGCTTACTTTCATTATGCAGTGAATGGCAATGATTAGTTTCCATTAACTGCATTAAGGAAGCCATGCTCACCTAAGGTGATGCCATTGGGCCACACGATGTTGTCTGTTACCAAGGCAACGCGAGCCGCTCCATTGAGCCCGCTCTTCTCAATTTTAGCCTCCTCACCCCAATCTGTCCAGTACATGAAGCTAAGAAGGACACAGCAAAAATAATTAAAATATATCAAAGACTGAAGACTGAAAGCTCCACTTAATCTAAAGCTGAAAAAAACTTTATGTAACTCTCAGATATCTGCAAAAACTTTCACTTACTTATTTACTGGGTCAACTGTGATGGCTCTTGGCTTCTGCAGGTTTTCTCTGACGAGGGTCTTCCTCTTACTGCCATCGGTCGTTGCCACGGAGATTGTCTTCAAAATGCCGTCGGTCCAGTAGATGTTGCCATGGATCCAGTCGAGTGCAATGCCCTCTGGGGCCACGATCCCGCTGCCAATTACCACACTGTGGTGAGATGAGTTACCAGCCATGTCCATCTTGGAGCTGTCAGGAAGGAGGTGAGAGCAGAAAGATTTACTTTGGAGACAGATGCTGCTCTATCTGCAGTTCAGTCTGCATCACAGTCTCTCACTCACAGTGGAAAAATGGTTATTTGTCTTCACTGGCATCAGTACAGAGTTACAGATAGAGTTAGTCTGGTGTAGCCATAACTGAAAGCTCTTGTCTAAACTCTTCCTCACATACACAGATCAATGAAGCTTTCTAACCTGAAGATTTTCTTCAGAGACAGATCAGACCAGAAGATCATCTTGTTGGGCATATCCATGTCCAGAGCCATCACATTTTTCAGCTGAGGGATTACACGAACGTACTCGCTGCGGTCCACTGTGATCTTCCTCACCTCGTGTCTGTTGGTGAAGTACAGGGTGGGCACAGTGCCTGGAGGGGACAGAAGAGGACACGTGGTTTTCAGACCTCTAAATGCAAGTCATGCAGTCTGCAAATTGTCTCTTAGGGCAAAGCATTAAGCAGGGACAGACTTTCTTTCAGTCATTACCTGATTCAGCCTTGCATGTTTTGGTCGCAGGGTCAATCACAAAGCCCATCTCACAGTCACACTTGTAGCTGCCATTTAGGTTGATGCAGATCTGACTGCAAGTGTCTGGCTCAGCACATTCATCAATGTCTGCAGATGGGCAAACACAAGGCCGAGTTGATATTCAGAGTAAGAAAATACAATATTGGGAACAGTTCTTTCTACTGTTTTACCTGTCCACGACCTGTTTCTTAAATGGATTACGTTTTAACTTTCCATCCTCTCACCTTCACACGTTTTCTTGTCCATCTTCAGGATGTACCCGGCAGGACAGGAGCAGTTGTAGCCGACTTTCAGATCATGGCAGTTATGGGAGCAGCCACCCTTTCCAGTCAAACACTCATTGGTGTCTGTGGAAACAAATAGTATTCATGACAACCAAATCCTAATGTTAGAACTCACTTATTCAACCCACAAACCTGCTAGCCAAGGTTGCATGGTTAGCTGTTATGGTCATATTTTCCAGTCTGTAACATGGTTTCACTTTTTTTCTCGCTCTCTCTCTTTTTCTCCAAAGCAGCAATCCAGCTAAGTTTTTTCTGTTGGTGATTTTTTTAAGAGCAAGCATGGCTGCACATCATTTTAAAATTGAAACTGCAGGTTGGTTGCAATGAACACGTACAGGATGTTTAAATAGGGCTCTACTTACCGCACTCTTTCACAGGTTCATCAGACCAATCACGGCAGTCTCTCTGCTTGTCGCACACTTTGTCCATGCTGATGCATTCCCCACTGCGACACTTGAACTTGGTTGGGCCTTCACATACACTTTCTGTGGACAGGTACAGGGGATTATGAATATGACTGTAACCTAGTCATACAAGACTTTTCCACAGCCCTCAAGAAAGAACACGCTGGCTTCTGTATCCAGCTAAGTGTGTTGGTGAAACTAGATTAAATCTTTGTGGGAGTCACCTATGTGGCAGCCAATCTCATCACTGAGGTCCCTGCAGTCGGGCTCTTTGTCGCACTGGCGGCTGCCATGGATACAGGTGCCGTCCTTACACTGAAATTCATCTGGGCTGCAAGTAGGACGACCTAGAAGAAGAAGATAAATGGATGAAAACACAGAAAAGAGACAAAGAGGGAGAAGTGACGGACAGAAATAGGAAGGAGAATAAAATGATTTTAAAAAAAAGATCCCTGACATGATTTATTGTGGATGTGAAATCGAAATTGATGATACAAATAATGTGAACGTGGCTTTGGATGGCACCTGGATATGATGTATGCTCGAGAATTAATGGGCTGTTGGGAGAGAAGATTTATCAGGAGGAATTTAGAAGAAAAAGCGGATAGAATAACAAAAAAACAGGAATAAATAACACTGCTAGAAGGCTGACTCACTGCAGTTGACCTCGTCCGATTGATCCTGACAGTCCATGCCTCCATCACACCTCCAGCTGCTGTGGATACACTCCCCATTGGCGCACTGGAACTCGTGGACACCGCAGCCTGCCGGCTTCTTCTGCTCTTTCCCCATACAGTTCTCAGGCCACTCATCGGACCCATCCAGACAGTCCTTGTCTCCATCGCAGCGCCACAGAGCCGGTACACACACTGAGTTGTTGCACTGGAAGGACCGAGAGCTGCAGGTGGGTTTGGGGCAGGAAGTCTCGTCTGAACCGTCGGAACAGTCGTTGTCATTGTCGCAAACGAAGGCGGTGGATATACACTGACCATTGGCACACTGGAAGCTGCCCGCTGCGCACTGTTTGGCCGCTGTGAGGAGACAAGAGAAGGAGAGAAGAGTTAAGTACAGCTAGAAATGGATCAAGGTGACTTTAACAACAACACATCAGGAAAGACTGTCATAATCTGATATTTGCTTCTGAATACCAGATTTACACATATTAACTAGGTCTAAGATTTATAAATATGTGTAAAAAACTGCATTTTTCTTGCTAATACTACAACTATGCACTTTTATTCAGTGTGGTATATGCAGTACATCATTTTCCCCACATGGACATCAACAGTTTATTTTGTCTTAACTTGAGCCAAACTTACACTATGTTAATTCTTGCAGAACAGCTTGAATAATTCAGTTTTATTGTTTGTGATGTTTAAGGGTTTCCTGTTCTCCTGATAAGGCACTTACTGCAGTTTCTCTCATCAGCGCCATTTTCGCAGTCAGCTTTGCCATCACAGTGCCAGGCTCCAGGTACACAGTGATTCATCGGAGCGCCGCAGTTGAACTCTGACTCCAGACAAGTTTTGGCCGCTGAGGAAGGAAACGGGAGATTTGACTGATTATGATATGTTTTGTGACGGTAGTATTGTAAAATTGAACAGTCATTTACTTATAGAAACTACTGATCTACAGTAGCTTCACTAATGTGTTCCTGATTCACTGCTGTGCTGCTGTCAAGGATTATTATTTTATGAGCAGGGCAACAGGTCAAAGGTTCCAGTGGTGAGAATGGTTCTTTACTTGTTTCATCTTGTTTTCAGAGTTTAATGTACACAACACATATTCACACTTAAAGTTAAACTGAAAATTAATCAACAACTACTCTAATAATTCTGTTAATTTTGTCATTTTAAAAAAAAAAAGAAGTGACATTTGCTTGTTCCAGCTACTCGAATGTGACAGTTGGATTATTTCTTTCTTGCGTGCAATAAAAAAACAGAACTCTCACTGGAAATTACATAATATCCTGACTAAGTGCAATAATCTTTTCCTGATGGAAATGTGCAATACACTGAAAATATATGTGCAACTTCTGATAATGTATGCTGCTACCAGTTTATCTTGTACATTTATTCTTTTTGCACCATTGAGAATAATGGATTTAAAATTTCATTGTATAACTGTGCAATGACAATAACCTAACTATTTTTGCTATAACTTGTTGGTTGGATAAAACAAGTAGTTTAAAGATGTCACCTGTGGACTTATGAAGGAAAAATTGCAAGTTTTTTTTTTTGATCCAAAATAAAAAGAAATTATCATTAGCTGGAGTTCTGTTCAAATGGACATCATTTATGTTTTATCATTTGTAAAAATCTATGGCCCTCAGTGATCCTGTAACATACCGCAGGTTGCACGCAGCTCATCAGTTCCATCACCACAGTCGTCGCCTCCATCGCAGATCCACTTGCGGGTGATGCACCTCCCATTTCCACACTTGAACTGAGTGGAGCTGCATGTGAAGGCTGCATCTGGGAAAGATAAAAATCACAGATTTCAGCGTGACACGAGGACAAACAACAGACCCACCGGCTCTGACATTATCAGGATGACAGTGAGCACTTCGTAGTAATGTGGGCTTGTGTCAACACAAAAGAATAACCGACATCCTTGTGAAGTTAATGTTTGACCGAAAACTACACACTGGACACAAAAAAATACAATCGAAGGACACTGAAGTTCAAATAAGTGACAGTGTGAAAACCACACCTTTTACTCATTGCTTAACTTACAGGAGATTACAAACCACAGGTAACCAAAGAGTGTGGCTCAAAGACTCATGCTAGAACAAGACATGAAGTGATGCAACTTTGATGTGAAGTATTTGGAGGAAGCCCAGAAGTTTTATCTTTCTTAATTCTGCCATGACATACACATGGAAGTCTGTGTTTTAACTAGAAGCAAGATGTAATCAAAAAAAAAGGATAAGCGAATGATAAATAAAAGGAAATGTAATAGAGGAAATGTTTTGACAAACATCTGCACAGATCAGCAAAGAGTCACTAAATGCTTACTTTCTTTAATATTTCCTTGTTTTGTATCTTTTCAGGAGGAACAACCACTCACATCTCTGTTTCTAGTTCAACACATTTCAGGTATGATTTCGTCATGGCAACAGCTTCACAACTCTGCTCAAGGTGTAACAGTTTGAAGCTGTGTGACCAGAGACCGACCGAGGCGCATTCTGGCCTCAGAGGTAGCGCTCCTTTAGACAATCACATCTAAGTGATGTCAAATCAAAGAAGGCATCGACTTTAAGACACATACAAAACTAAAACACGCCCTTCATGCTCCTGAATGAGTTTCAGCATTTCATCCTCCATCACTTCTTGCTCTGCTCGTCCCTCCTGTGACCTGGAGGCTTGGGGACACTGTCAGACTATCCCTTTAAGACAATAGCATGGGAGGAGTTGAACAATCACACCACCAGTTGCTGATTGGTCCCAGAGTGACATTCCTCACAACAGCATCATCACAGTGAACCACAGATGGAGGCGGCGACTCCAAACACAAGGAAGTCTGTCAACTTCAGAGTGTCAATAAGTGATGACACTTTACAAAAAAAAAAAAAAGCAACGGGACAGGTCTGACTGGGCAGAGTAAAATAAGGAGAGGATGCTTTCTCAACACTGGGCACGCCACCAAGCTTACCCTCCCTCCTTCTCTGATCCTGTGTGAGGAAAAACAGTGGTGACAAGTTGACTGTATCTCCCCTTCTGTTGTTCTTAAGGACTTTTAAAATGATTCTGGGTTTCTCTGATAAGGGAGAAATAAACTGACTTCCTCTGTAGTTCGAACACTTTCACAGAAACCACACATGGCGGTTAGACCAGGCGCTCAGCCAGCAGCAGTTCCAGGAATACAGTCTCCAAAGCAGACTCCAGCTGTTCACGAAGACACGCACTGATAAATCTACAACAAAATTTAAAGGAACTCTCACTTTTTTCCCTTTTTAGGAATCATCCATGTATTCCACTGACAGGAGAAGGAGGATGAAAGTAGGTCAAACAATGGCTCTTCCTGACCTTCACACTCCCGACCTCGTCTCTGAGGATGGAAACTGTGAACTCTGTTTTCATTTTCCGCTGTTAATCTTCCCTGCGATTTCACATATGGGCCATGAGTTGCTCAAGGAGGCTGGAATATGAGGTTTCCTTTAATTCTTTACAGTAAGTCTTTTTTGAGTAGGAGAGTAGGTTTAAGCTTTCCTCGTGAAGTTGTTTTTTACTCAACCCCTATTATTTATTCAAAATTGTATTTTCATTGTAAACAAGCATAGTCAAACAAAATACTTTAAAATACATTTTAAATATCTTGTTAAACACATTTTCCTTCCCTGTAATTACCTAAAGTAAGCAACAATATGTGTTTTTATCTCACAAAACTGTGAGGCTAATTGACAGAAACAAGTCCTGCAAATGTGTTGCTGATAGTAAAACCTACAGAATGATTTGTGACCATATTCAGCCAGTTGAAAGGTATAATAACATCACAAACAGACCACAAACTGCAGATGAGCTGATCTATGTTAACAGGATGTCACATAGAAACCGCTTCCTTTGCTACTGCAGAGAAAATGCGTCCTTCAGATACTATTTACACTCACATAGTGAAGCTGACAACCTGCAGACTTTACTGTTCTGACACCACCATGTAAGGCCATTCGAGCACCACCTCAAACACATACCAGGCTGCTGGGATTCAGTTCAAAATGTATAAAAACCGAGACTTGTTTGACAGCAGAAACTGGCAGATGCTCTTAAGGGGCTAGACAAGTCATCATAGTGCTGCACGACAACAATCCTTCCCTGTGATCACATGAAGCCTCGTCGCTAACAATGCATTCTTTCTTTTTGTGGCATATGCATACAACACGCACACACAATGGAAACCTTCACACAGGGTAGCATTTATGTATTTAAACACACACTCAGGAGTTAATAAATAACCTGGATGCATGTTCATCAACGAGAACCTGCAGCACTTGCTTCAGCTTTGAACCAGAGTTTGCGAGGATTCGGTGCTGCACTTTATAGAGATGAATTCACCGGCTGAGGAAGTAAGACTGCTGCACGTAACGCAGTCAAATTAAGTTGGATTTCTACATGCTAAGAGCCTCAAACCATCTTAGTTTCAGGTGTTTGGTCTACACATTAAGTGCAAGACTTAGTAATGAGGTCAACATCTGCAGGAGAATCAATCTGCTAAATGTTTCCAATGTGACTAAATAAATGATAAGTGAAACTATAAAGTGCTTGTCTTGGTGAGTCACTGCAGTTTAGTCTCCCATGTAGGAAAAACTTTTCTCTCCCTCTTCACCACAGTGTATGGCGATGCCTCATTTCAGGAGTATGTTAAACACAAAGTGAATGCATTAAACAAACCAGAGCCCAATCTTTAAACAAAGAAGAGAACACACACACACACACACACACACACACACACATACACACACAAACACGAGTAGATCTGATGACTGGAAGTGAGCGCTGCAAACTGGTAAAAAACTCAAGTTTAAATCTGAAAAGCTCTCAGAGGAGAGTGAAGATTAATGGAGGATTACTGAAGCAGCTGGCAGAATGAGGCTGCAGGACATTGGAGGCCTTAAAGGACATCAAGTTCACCGGCACATTGTAATGATAAACTGAAGACACAGCGCCGGGCCTTTGGCAGAAACTGAAGGCTGATTTTGTGGAACTAAAATTAAGCAGGTTTTTTAATACAAAATACAACCTCAGCTCAAAAGTTGATTTCGTTCCATTCAGTGTCTCAAAGTACAAGAACCTGACGTCCATAAGTCACCAAGTTCTAAATTGGATCATATTCTACCTGTATAACATGGAGCCTCAGAATACCCCAGAAAAACCATGAATTTCTTTGACTTTCTCTTCTCTCATGTTTGTTTTATATTGTTATTTAATATTTTCTGTGGCTCTTTTATAGTTTTTAAGTTATAATGTCTGTTTCCAAGAGTGGTTTGCTGTGTCATCTTACTGTGGAATGTGATACATCTGCCTTGTATCAGGATTCCAGAAAATAACTGAACCTATTCATTAACTCCATTCATTCATTCATTCCCTCCATACATAATAAAACACCTTTGAAACTAATTTCTCAAACATGCTGAGAAACTTCTTTCACTGTGTGGTCCTATTGTCAAGAAGGTACATTGACAAAAGGAAGACACAGACGTATTAATTTTGGATGAGCTTGAGCAGCTAAAAGACAAACGCAGACTTTCCTGCATCTTGTTTCCTCAGTCTTGCTACAGGGAGGAGTCCTGGAGCTTCAGCCGCGCCCTCTCCTCCCTTTCTGGTTGACAACGGCCTGTTTCTCGATTTGTTCCGCCCACCTAAGAGCTAAAACCCGGCCGGCGCCGCGAAGGACGCGATTGGCTGTGTTGCATTGTACAGCGAAACGAACCAATCAAAGCGCCGTGCGTAAAATTCCATTCATATATGCCGAAATTGTAACCCACACAGTAGTGCTATCACCATTATTATATTATATGTCCTCTCATTGCAGTTTTCACAAGTATCATATTTACAAGCGAGTTTAAAGCAAGATTTTAAAATGATTCATGCATGACTTATCATCATTACTAATCATGTTCAGCGCCGGAGTTCCTGAAAACATTTAAAGCTGGAACAAAAAACGTCCCCAAAGCCCAAAATATCAGGCATAAATAGTGTTACCCAGAGTATGTTAGACATTTATATGTAAGACAATGTGTAAATACACACATAGAAGAAGAAACTAGCTTCGCAGCAGCGGAAAATTTGTAAGGAAATATATTTTTTACCTGTGTGAGCCAAACAGTGAATCAGCATCAGCAGACAGCAACATGTGGACCATCCGGTGAGTCCCTTCCGCATCCCAAACATTTCCACTGCTTATAATTTGCCCCTTTTTTGACAGCTAAAGAGAAGTCAGCTGTGAACGCAGGTATGGAAAGAGAGGGCGCAGCAGGATCTGTGCGTAAAAGCCTCTGGTTCAGATGAAAGCGCAGACAGAAGTTGTGCGTAAAGACGAGTGCGAGCAAAAATATTATGGGGTTTGAGTCACATCTGACCATTTTCTATGCGGCTGGCATGAGGGCGGTGCTACAGCAGTGGTGTGATGTTTGAAATTAGACGTGAGCGCCTCCGGGGGGAGGGGCCAAAATGTTGCTGCATCACCCAGTCGCTCCATCATCCGTACATCCACCCGTCTCTTCCTCCTAAACCGGCGTGTCTTCTCCCTTATGTGTTTTTGTGCAAGAGGTAAAATGACTGAAAGGAAGAGTAAACTGTGACAGTTAACAAAGATTCTATCTATTCTAGAAGAGTTTCCATATTGATGGTAGTTTCGTGTATTGATCTCAAAACCCACAGTCAAACCAAACAGCCAGCCTGACTGTTTTGAGTATAATTTGTAAACGGATGAACACTGTGTGTATGAGCGTGTGCAATCAATGTGGAGTCTTCTGTAGCTGTACGGGCTTGTGAGGGTAAAGGTTCACTCACAGTTTCGTTGCTCACATAGACTTTCTTTTTTGAGTGGAGTGGAGGTTGTGGTTTTCTTTTTGGTTTGTGCTCAAATTTGCACCAAAAAAGTTAATAGTATAACAATTCTAAATAGCTCTTTGGAAAAAACACACAAACCATTTTATTTTCAATTTAATTTATGTTATTATACCCTTTTTGGCCCCACCAGCCTCCTTTATTTTACTATATTTCACCCACTTTACTGCATATATTGAAAGTATAGAAACAAACACATCTATGAATAAATAAATCTATAGTGTAAAGGAGAAACAAAAATTGTACAACATTACATTATAAATAAGATTTTAAATGGAAGATGTGCACAGCTTCTTTAACTGAAGCTAGTAGGTTAGCAGGTAACCAACCGGTGTGTCAATGCAGCACAGAAGTGTACATTGATTAGAAATCAGTCCATCCTTGTAGTTGAACTGTTTTCTACAGACATACTCCACTTTAACTCAGTACATGAGTTTTAAACTTGACCTGTGCAAATGTAAAACACTCCCTTAATTTGCGTCTGCAGTCACTGTTCTACTTCTAAAATAAACAGATAATTTGCAAAGCAAATCTCACCATTGTTAGTGATGCAAAAGCTTTCTGGAGTGCACTGCAGAAAGAGCTGCAATTTACAGAAACTATTATGAAGTTCTGGGAAGCAGATGAAGTTCCCTGGGACTGATACTCAGTGGAAAAATTATCTCTGCACGTCACTGTCTTCTTATCCCTCTTTTTTTGCTGGTTTATGTAATTCTCCAAACACAAATGGAAAAAGAGCTACCACCATCGTTCTTTCGTTCACTTCAGATCACAGTACAATGGATGACTTCAGTGACTGAAAGCTGCTGTATTGCATGGATCAGTCACTTTAATCAGTTTGTGATCTGTGAAGTGGAGAGAGTTTTGGCTCAGGAGACATGGCCATGGTAATATTTATGAGGCAAATCATATCTAGAGTTTTTAAGAGGGAATTCTGTGTGTGTGGAGAGAGGGGGAGGACTTGGTATGGAGCTGTGGGAGGTATTCCTGGAATGTCAAAATAGCAGCTGGATTACATATTCTGCTACACCCACAGTCACTACACACTGTTAACACACCCACGGAGAGGCACACTGAGAGCGCAGCGGTAATGTGCATGCGTGCACCAAACATTTTTAACTGCACCTGTCACCTGTGCTCGATGTAGTAAAACATCAACTTCACTGACATCCGGAAATGACTGTGAGTCACATCTGAGTCATTCAGATCGTCCCCTCTATAACATCCTCCAAGCCGAACTTGTGCCCCCTTGCATTTACACTGTAGAAAATATATTGTGTACACTGGTAAATTAGACATTTTCAGATAAGACAAAGAACTACATCACTGGGAAAATATCTCCTACTATTGTCATTGTGGGGAAACGCACAAATTAACAAAGGCTCTATTCTTCTCAAGTGTCCCAGTAAGGCATGACAGTGTGAAATTGCATTAAATGAAATTCATGCATTTTATTTGTCAAAATGTGAAAATGGCCTGCACTAGTTTGTTGTGGAGATGAGAGAGCTGCTGATTTGCTGTTCCTTCCCTCACATGTGGCTGTGTCGTGACTGAAAGAATATGTGATTACAAACGACAAAAAAGAATTTCCTTTAAGGGGGTGTCTGGGTTCATCCTTGGAGACAGGATGAAGATGTTGCTCATTCAGGAGGCGCTCAGAGTTGAAACCTTGCTCCTCCATATCAGCAGGTGATTGGGGGAACTTGTCCAGGATGCTGCCCAACTGAGGTGTTTTAGTGTCTGTACATCCAGCTGGGAGGAGAGCCCAGACTGATCCAGGACAGAATTTATGTCCCTCCAGTTTGGAATGATGGGGGTCTGGGTAGCTCTGTTTAGGCTGCTGCCCCTGTGACCCAGACACATATACGTAGTGGGACACAGATGGATGGATGAATGGCTGTTATCACAAAAATACAACTTTAAAACAAGTTTTTTTTTTTTTTTTTTTAAAGTTTTGGTGGAATCTGTGTACAGACATGCACAGGGCAGGCTGTAATAGCATTGCATTAACTGGCCTGAGCTACTTAATTTGTTTCCCACTTACAGAGTCAGAGGTCTGCTTTTTTTAAGCGCACACACAGAATGAACAGAAATATTCACTGAATTAGAGAAGAAGTGTGTTGCATTAGAATCTTTTACTCCTCCTTAAACATTTGTAAAAATAGATGGATTTCCTTTGAGAGCAGCCTTCTGCATTTTGTGACTTTGGGGGATGAGACAAATTCTTTGAAGGTGATTTGAAAAATACAACATAAATGCAAAATACATCTGGATGCAAATAAAAAAAAAGATATGATGTCTTTTACATAGTTGTGTCCAGCAGGTGTTAGTCCCTGTAAACTAGTAGATATCTGAATCCCAGTCAACATTCTCCGTCATATACTGATAACTAATGTTTTTCAAAGTGTTCCTATCTGCAGTGTCAGTATGTGTGCACAGTGTCTCTGCTGCTGCAATGTGCAAGCCATGTTTGTCTTTAAACTATGAACTGAAGAACAAGTTTGTATCATCTTGCACATACAAGTGATATTAATATAAACTGCTACCTAATCCCGTAAAATGTTTCAGAATGAGACTCTAATACACATGAAAGAAACATAAAAACCTAAAATATCAGAAGGCTACATGCATAAATTCATGCTGGTTTCAATGAAGCAAATCTAAAAGACTGAACTCACTGCCTTGAACTGGTATGAACAATAAATTCAATACTATGCAGAGAACACAACTTTGTGAGACAGAGAAACTATTTGCTCAATCATTTGAAAACCATGTTTTAGTTTCTGAGGGCCCGCAAAACTGTTAAGTCTGCACAAGCATAAGCATTTACACTTACATGAAACATTGTGGTACGTTGTGATGACAGCAACAGTGATGCTACACTAGTTGTACTCTAACAGGCTTCTATAAAATGACAACAAATCAGAAGTGTGCACACAAACACACACATAAGAACATACTTTTATGGGAGCATGGGTGTGCCTTTGTGTCTGTGCAGATTTCACAACTGAAGGTCTTTATGTTTAGAGACTAATTGGTATCAAACAAAGCTTACAAAATTGTTTGTTTTTTTTTAAATAATAAAAATGCTTAATTGAAATATCTGCTGCCTACAGACAGCACAGCTTCCTCTAAAAGATAGTTTATATAATCTCCATGCTTCCTTGTTTAGATTTATTGCTGAAATACAGAAGTATGACGGTTATTATGTAGTAATGGGATCATCTCGATAAGGGGAACTCTGGCTTGAAGCTCAGGGAATGTTGTGATTTACTGTAAGTGAGTAGGGGGGTGGGGGGTTTCCTAGAAATCAGGAAATCAAGTTCATCCCCCTCCCCCTCTTCCCTGCATGGAGCAAACACGTCTACCTCCAGCACTGTCGAGGCTCTGTTTAAAACCACACACACTCACATCTCAGCATGTGCCGAGTTTCCTCCTCTGAGCCATGCGTTTGGTGTATTTCTCCTCTGAGCCAGACGTGCTGCTTACACAGTAAATATAAATATGAGTGGTGTAGCAACATGGTTTGTCATCTGCATAGAGACTTTCTGTTTTCATTTACTGGTATGACCTTACTGAGAAGTGACTGCAGGGGGTTTTACAGTCTGATAATAATTTTATGTTTTGTTGGAGGCTCAGACTCAGATAGGAATGAGGTCAAATCAAGCCAAGGCAAAAACTAAACACCCAGAAAGATGCATGAGTTTATAGTAAAATGTTTTTTCTTAAAATTCTTAACATGTTTACAAAGAAAATTCAAGAAAACTTGATGAAGAAAGGCCTTGTTCTGACCCTTAACAGCACAGTATTGACAAATTTACCAGAACAGATGAAAGTTTGTCCTACGTTTGTGTGAGACATCCTCCCTGTGGTCAGACAAGGTCACTGCATCTCAAAGCTTAACCACAACGGTTTAAACTATTGTTGGGTTTATTTGGAGCTAAAATTGAAAAGCCATTTGGTTGAAAGGCAAGAGTAAAGGGAATCAGTCACCACAGCAGGATTTGTAACAGAAAGCGGATTAAAACAGACGAGAATTTATTAGCGAGAGTTCAGAATTCAAGATTGTTGTTGGTATCTGTGTAAAATATGTGATCTTGACTTATGTTTGACTTGTACGGAAAGGAGGTATTCGATGTATTTAAGACTGAAGGTAACATGATATGGACTGAGTGGGTTGTAAAATGTGGCAATTGATTTTTATACATCTTCGTCTGTTTTACCTATGTGGAAAAAATATAAAGTTAAAAAAAAATAATAGTCTAGAACTACTGATGGTTAAAACATCAAGACTCTTTGATCCAAACCAGCTGTCAGGTATATAACAAATATACACAAATTCATCTGCAAATATTATTTTCATGCCTAATGAATCTGCCAAAGATTGCCATAACCAAGTGCTGTTTAAAAAACACCCCCAAAGTCAAGATGATATTTATTTTGTCCAACCCACAGTCCAAACCCCAGAAATATGCAGTTTATCCATCTCTATCATACATCACTTCAGAAACCAGCAAAGTGACTCAAACTGTTTATCAATTGCCAAAATCCTTGCTGATTCATTGCGACTAGTTTAATTACAGCACTACATCACACAACGTCAACGATTTATTGTTTCGTTCTGAGTTCCAGCGACAGTGACACAACACAACACAGGACAGATCTTGATAATTTAGTGGAGAAAACATTGATGCTTTGGTTCACTCTAGTTATCTACTGTAATGAGAAAAGTACAGTACTGAACTTGCAAGCTGTACATACGTGCATCGACATTATACTCTAAAAAATACTCTATACAGTATATCCAACACCATACAGCCGTGAGGCATTCACAAGCAGAGAAGAGCCGCTGTCCCTCTGGTCCTTTGTCTTGAAATCAAAAACATAAAAAGTGCCAAAGTTGAAGAAAAAGTTCCAAAATCCTAAAATCACCACACAACAACTGACGGAGAAGCAATTAAAGTTACAGTACTCATCGATGAATAACAACCTCATGATTCTTTACATCTACAATCAACAGTTTATAAGTTTGTAAGTGCTTAAACTGGAAGTGTAACAGGTAAGCAGCAGCAAAGGTAAAGTAGATTGTTTTTAATGCTGTACCATATGTACAATATTGGAGAGCGATTTGGCCTCAGCTCCATAAAACCTCAGTCAAATAACTGTGGTGAGTTGCTAAAGAGCTTCTGAGAAGTCTGGAAACACCCTGTGCCCACAGGAGGCTGGATATCCAACTCAAACAGTGAGCGCAGGTCACAAACATGTGATAAACACACACCTCTGTGGTTGCGGTGGCTCCGGAGAGGCTAACTGCTGTTATGACACGAGGCCGAAGGGAAGCCGAGGTGAAATACCTGGTTAGTTTAATCCAGACCTAAGGTGAGGTGAGGTAAGGTGGTGGCTTTACACAGGGTGAAAATGCAACTCTATCTGGAAACAGTTTCTGTTTACATTCAATGGTGTTGACTTCACTTTACTGTTTTATGTCAGTTTTTACTCTGCAGGTTAGTTAAGGACCTACTAGAGTCCAAAAACAGAAAAAATCAGGCATCACAGTTGTGTCAGAGTTTAGGAAAGCAAACCTTTATCCTTCTTAAAGATCAATGAGGTCTGTCTTAATGGCAGCACTTTACTACAAACCCCCTATTCGGCATTGAAAAGCACCAAATAAACATTTATGAAATGGTTTGTAGCACTTTAATGCGGTTCAATTTTTTATGTACTCGTCAATAACCATAACTCCTGCAGGCAGCCATAAGTGGATGATATAAAAACAGACGATGAATTATAATATAGGTTGATAGAGACGTTCTGATCTTGAACAAAAACTACATTAACTTGATGTAAATTCACTTAAAACTGTCCTTAAAGCTGTGTACAACCACATTACACTGTGGTATTAATAATTCAATAAAAGTTTGTTTACAGTGTATAAATGCTCAACAGGGGGACCCTTGAAATAAAGTAAAACTGAAGCAGTTTGAATTTTAAAAAATGAATTTACCCATGGCTTCAGGGTATTTTCCATATGTTTTAAGATGGGTTGAAGAAGACACATTAACTTAATTGTCCATTTTTGGAAAAAGTTATTTTGTAAAACAACACAACAGCTTTTTCCATCTTGGCGTATAATAAATATGCATTTTCTACTGTGTTCGACAGGCAGCAGGCTTTTCTGGGTTGCCACAATCGACTATTATATCTCATTCTTACCTTCCACAGTGTAATTTTCTTCTCAGTCACTCTCTTCAAACACGTAAACAGATATTAGGTCAATTTAATTTAATTATTATTTTTTTTAAACATATCTGGCCACAACATTCTCAGTAAAAATGATCAAAAACTGCTAAAATTGCAGAGAATGACAAAAAGTTCATTTGATCCCTTTGTGCACTTTTTCAGACTAAAGCCCAGCAGAAGAAAGTTGAATGCAAATCTTGACTAAGATGTATATTTTATGATATTGTCCTGGATTCTCGTGATGGCCATATGTCTAATTGAATAAAAATAAGTATGCGTCCGTACCTGTACAGACAGTATTGCAAGTTCCCTTTCTTTTGTTTTTGTACCTACAACATTTGACTGAGAGTGTATGGAGCTGACTAAGGCATGTTTTGATACTGTATATGTAGTGCTTGATTTGGTGGAATAACCCTTTAGGCTCCTTCTCTCCCACATCACAGTGCAGTTCAGGACTCCTCATCAGTGGCACTGGGGGAGCGCTCCTGGAAAAAGGACATCAAATCAAAGTACAGACCGATACACATATTACTTTTGAGTCAAGCAAGTGCTGTAGTTATGAAAAAACATAACAATCCAAAAAACAAGAAAACTAACAACAACAAAAGATATACAAATACGCAAGAATATTGCAATGTTAAGATATTTTTGAACACTTCTTTACTCAAAACTTACCACTTGTCCCATATAGCACATTTTTTTAAATGTGTTTACTACAATTTGTAAACAGGTTCATGAGATATCCTGTAAATTAACAATCAACTAAACGAACAAGGGATGAATAGAAATAAGAGCAAGGTTTACACATCTTCTGCATGTTTGAGCCTCTGCAGGCAAATGAGCAAAGGCTGGTGAACAGTTAAAGCTATACACATATTAGTGCACAAACACACAACTACACACATAGAAGAAGATACCTCTTCCTGCTCATCCTCAGAGTCATCATCACTGACAACAGGTTTGGCTCTGGTGCGTCCTGTTCGTCGGCTGCGTCCTTTCCCTCGATCTCCACCTTTATCCTTCCTGCCCAGACGGATTTTCACTTTCACTGAGCGAGCTGGATCCAAACACACATGTAAAGAACATGTTTACATTATAAAAAAGCAGAAGCAAAAACAAAACAAAAAAAAGCATAAAAATAATTCTAGTGTGCAGAGTAATTTAAATGTAAATTTTCGCAAAAAAGAATCACGACACATTTTCAGCACTGACTGACTCAAACATAACTGACTGAACAAGCTAAAATTTAAAATCAATTTGTAGCCAGAACACACAGGGAAATAAAACATGACTCAGAAAGTCATGATCTCTTCACACAGACTTGTGCTCACATTCGGACTCTGATCCTTCCTCCTGTTCCTCTTCCTCTTCCTCGCTCTCCTCTCCCTCACTTTCCTCCTCCTTCTCGATCTTCTGCCTCAAGCTGGTGAACACTGACTGGAGCACGATGGAATCTTCGTATATCTGCTCAGACAACAGAGACCCCGTAGAAAACAACTAATTATTATAATCAAGCATGCGCAGCTAACAGTAGATGAAACAAACAGGATTCAACTTCAACACATCATGGTGCTTTCTAACTTTCAGTACAAAATAGGAGAAACGTGGGGAAAACCAAAACAAGTCATCTGTCATTAAAATCTGCAGCATCTGTCAGGCCAGTCAGCAACAAGATGCAGAACTTCTCCAGGTTTTGCAAAAACTGAACTGATGTTCCAGCAGTTTTGTCTAAAATGTTTGGTTAACGTTTTCTGACAAGGACAAGTGGTGTCTAACAGCATCATCTAGTTATAGAATGTACAGTTTCCTGCATCTTTCATCAGACCTGACATCCTAAAATAATGCTCAGATTATTATGATGTTGATTTCATATGTGATAGAATCAAAAAAGAGATGCGATCGAGAAAAAGACACCAGATGTTTTTCTGTGCTTCTGGGTAAACCCTGCATATAGGATGTGGTCTTCCTCACCAGCGATCCCTCCAGGTTGAAGGTTTGCGCATTTTGGAAGAGCAGCATGACGTCTCTCTCCAGGTCACCCAGACTGCGGTAGCGATGACTTCGAATCCTCTCCTACAACCAAGATACAGTATGCACATCTCTTTGTGTACAAAAGAGAATAACACACCAAGTTTGTCCGTTAACCTACAAATTCGTCCACATCTTTGTTGTTGGTGGTGTGCGCACTGTGCTGCTTTGCTGGAGAAGTTAAAAAAAATGTTTTCTAGAGGAATCATCTTTTCTGATCTCACCTTGATCTTCCTGAAGTCCACCGGCTTGCGAATCAGCTCATAGTACTCTGGCAGCTCTTTTCGAGATGGCAGCTGGATGAACACCTCGCTCAGCTGACGGCCACTGGTGCTGCAGGAGATAATAATCATAGTTATAATAATAATCCATCCATCCATTATCTATACACCGCTTAATCCTCACTAGGGTCGTGGGGGGGCTGGAGCCCATCCCAGCCGACTTAGGGCGAAGGCAGGGGACACCCTGGACAGGTCACCAGTCTATCGCAGGACCACACTTAGAGACAGACAACCAAGCACACTCACATCACACCTACAGACAATTTAGAATCAACAATTAACCTCAACATGTTTTTGGACGCGGTGCGCATAGCTCAGCACGCTAAGTGCCCCCTTCCCACACCGGGAACTAGTCCCGGAATCGGAAGGCCCGAGCTCGTATCCCGCTCGGGGCTTGTCACACTTTGCTGCAGGGTGGCGCAGTTGGTAGCACTGTTGCCTCGCAGCAAGAAGGTTGCCGGTTGCCGGTGGGGGCACCGGAATCTTTCTGCGTGGAGTTTGCATGTTCTCCCCGTGCAGCGTGGGCTCTCTCCGGGTTCTCCGGCTTCCTCCCACACAGTCCAAAAACATGTTGAGGTTAATTGGTGATTCTAAATTGTCCGTAGGTGTGATGTGAGTGTGTTTGGTTGTCTGTCTCTAAGTGTGGTCCTGCGATAGACTGGTGACCTGTCCAGGGTGTCCCCTGCCTTCGCCCTAAGTCGGCTGGGATAGGCTCCAGCACCCCCGCGACCCTAGTGAGGATTAAGCGGTGTATAGATAATGGATGGATGGATGAATGTTTTTGGACTGTGTGGGAGGAAGCCGGAAAACCCGGAGAGAACCCACGCTGCACGGGGAGAACATGCAAACTCCACGCAGAAAGATTCCGGTGCCCCCACCGGGATGCGAACCGGCAACCTTCTCGCTGCGAGGCAACAGTGCTACCAACTGCTCCACCTTGCAGCCCTATAATAATAATAATAACTTTATTTATATAGCACCTTTAAGAACAGCTTGTACAAGGTGCTTTGACAGTAAAACATGCAATACAAAGACAATCAAGGAAGTCTTAATACTTAAAGAATTAAGAATTAAACTAATTAAAAACAACATCAAACCAAAGAACTACGCAGCTAAAAAAAAATAAAAAAATAAAAACAAAAGAGAACATGTAAAATAAACAGGTGGATAGTGCATAAAAACAGAATGAAACACTAAAACTAATTAAAGATTAAAGTAAACTTCACATAAAAGCAAGTTGATAAAAATGGGTTTTAAGAAGTGATTAAAAAGAAGTTACTGACTCCGCAAGCCTTATCTCCTCAGGCAGGTTGTTCCAAAATCAAGGGGCCTTGGTGGAGAAAGCTTGGTCACCCTTAGATTTAAGCCTCGACTTCCAAAGTGATCAGTAAAATCTTAAAATCAACTCTAAAATGCACAGGGATCCAATGAAGGGAAGCCAAGATAGGTGTGATGTGATGTTGTCTGTTAAAACCGGTAAGAAGCCTAGCTGCTGTGTTCTGGACAAGTTGGAGGCGAGAGAGGGACTAAGAGATGAGATGACATCATCAAGACGAGACTGTAATCATTTATTAACATCTGAGTGAGGCCGATAGAGGTCCATCTAATCACACCCCTCCAGGCTAATATAATCAGTTTAAACATGGTAGAGAAGTAACTGTTGTCTCTCCCTGGGATTAGTATCACGAGCATATTTAAACAGCGTGCTATTTTAAAATCTATCAGATCTAGGAACTTGAAAACAGAACTTTTAGACAGTCCTTTAATTACTCATCTGGAATGTTCTGTTTGGTCAGGAAACTTTGTAGAAACAAAATTTCTTTGAATAAGTGTGATATTTGTTCAATATAACTTTATTCTACATGTCTAACTTTAAAATGTGCTGACAACAAACTGTTGGCAGCAGATTCTATAAAAAGGAAAACAAACTCTGTTAGCACAACTAAGAAGCCATTAGTGAATCAGCTGCAGTCTCATAACAAGAATTCTGTGACTTTTTGGTTGAACTGCAGGCTGTGGTAATGCAGTGCAGAAAAGTATGTAAGCAAATATAAAAAGCAAGTAGCAAAATATCTATGCTATTTAAAATCACTACTGTTTACAGCATTGGTAAAACCTGTAGAGACCTTTTCGAGTTCTCTGTATGTCTAGTCATTGTTGTGCTGTTTCCATGGAGGTGCAGGATTTTATATTGCAGTTAAAAATGAGTCCACAGTGAGTAAAAATGTGAAAGGAGCCAAAAACACCCAAAAACTGCTTGGACATCAGAATTTTGCCGAGAACAGAGCAGATGTTTAGTTTTATGTTCACGGTTGTGGTGGGAGATTCTAAATTACTCTGGGAAGCGTCAGTAGTTGCGAAAACTGTATGAAACATCATCTTCATCTGTGACTTTTCTCTGTTCTTTTAATACCACTTACATCACTTCTCAACCTGAAGTTGGCCTCAAACTAAAAACTACAGAAATGAGTAAGGGAGCTACATTAAGTAATATACTGACGCAAAATACTGTACTGTCACTCCAACTGCTGATTTCTATGTTTGGCCCGTGGATTCTTCCCAGCGTGTTGAACTACTGCAAATCTTTCCTGTGAATTAGTAAGTGGCCATTGTTTAACTTACATGTATTTAAGGGTCTATAAATATCTTAGTACATCTTTAAAATCAGTTAACACACACTTACCTTTGGGTACAAACACAATACATATTGCTGAAAGAGCTTTGTATGTGTAACAATCTACAGTTTGAGCTCTTTTCTACTACCTGTCTTTGTACTTGATGACAGCATCCACAATCTTCTTCATCTTCTTTGTGAGAGCGGGAGGATTTGGGGAGAGTTTCTCAGCAGGCGGTCGTCCCCTCTTCCTCTGCCTTTTCCCATCATCGTCTTTGTCCCCTCGTCCACGACCCCCCGAGGAAGAGGAAGGACCAGGGAGATCCAGGTCGCGGTCTCTTTTCCTTTTGCGGGTTGTCTTTTTGTGACGCACCTCTTCCTCCATCTCCTCCAGGGTGCCCTCCTCTATCGCCTGCATGGGAAAGACAGACTGTGAGATTGAAGTGGCGATTTAAGTCACAAAGTAGAAGAAGAAGAAGAAGAAGGAGGAGAAGTATCAGTCACTTTACTCTAGAAAGCAAATCATTTTTTGCTTGTATTTCAGTTGGATTTATATTCTGAAATCTGTCTCTCAGTGCTGCCATATACAACCTTGAGCCACTGCTTCTCGGTCAGTGAATCGCTGTAGTCCACCTCCTTCCGCTGCCGAGAACCTCGTCCAAACATTTTCTCCTCCTCCTCTTCACAGGTCAGTCGCTCAACCTCGGCGTCGTCCTTCATAATCCAAGTGGGTAGTTCATCCTCCTCCATCAGACGAGGTTTTCGCCGCGGGTTACGAGCCTCCTCACGACGCCGGTCCAGGTCCATGCGCTGGGGGAGGGAAGAAGAAAAGTAAAGAGGAAAGAAACAAAGGTGCAGGGAGAAAACTCCGGCTGAGGTGGGTTTGTAGCTATACTTTCTTCTGAAAACACAGACACTTACCATAAATTGGTCAAATTCTTCTTCGCTTCTGGCAATCATCTGGTTCACCGTCTCATCGTCTGGCACCTCATCCTCCTCCTAAATACAACAGACACACATTGGCAAGCAGAGCATAAGAAAGCACAATCTTCAAATTGTGTGTTTCTGGTGCTCGCACACACATTCATGCGTAGACACACTTCTTGACCCCAGACCTCGTCTTGCTCCTCGTGTTCCAGGATGGCCTGTAGGAAGGCCCTGCGCTCGTGGCTGGAAGACTTCTGGTCAAACATGCCGGCCTGAATGACCTTCTGGTCCACATTCAGTTTGTATTTAGCTGCTGCCAGGATTTTTTCCTCGACACTATTGACTGTACAGAGACGCAGAACTCGCACCTCATTCTGCTGACCAATACGATGGGCTCTGTCCTGAGCCTGCAGGTCCTGTGGAGGAGATGGAGAAAGAGAAAAATAATTAGTATTGTTTCACATTAGAAAATATGGTTGCTGCAGTGGCAGCTTCCTTGTGGATCCTGATGCTGTGGCACAAGTACGTTCAAAAATAAGTCACAACGTTTTAATATAAAGGCAAAGGCTCCAATTTTATTCGATGCATTTGTAGAACACACAGTTTTACAATTTGCACTGTTAGCATCCTGCAAATACAAGCTTCTATGTGGTAAAAAAGGCAGCTCGAGACTTGATTTGCGATTATATGTGTCATTTGCCTTTTTGTAAATTAAAATAAATGAGCATCGCACCTGATGTGGGTTCCAGTCGGAGTCAAAAATAACCACAGTGTCAGCAGACTGCAAATTGAGGCCGAGGCCTCCAGCTCTTGTGCTCAGGAGAAAGATAAAGTACTCTGACTCTGGATCATTGAATGTCTTCAGTAACATTCCTCTGTCTTCAGCCTTCGTAGTGCCTGAGATGTAAGGAAGGTGGGAAAAGCGAAGAAAACCAGGTGAGGGAAATAATTCAAGAAACAGATAAACCAAGGCAGACAGAAAGGAAAAAACAAATGCATCGAAGAAATGGAAATGAAAGGAAAAGAATGCATTAAGTGCAATGAGAATTAAGGGCAGATACATAAACACTCATATAAATTGGTATCTCACCATCAAGACGAAGGTACTTGAAGTTTCGGTAAGCAAAGTAGTCCTCCATGATGGTCATTAGTGAGGTCATCTGACAGAAGAGCAGCACTTTGTGGTTTGTGGCTCTCAGCTTCGGCAGGATTCGATCCAACACCTCAAACTTTCCTGATGCCCGGTACAGGTCCGGACTGACGGATATTTTTACAGGATTGAAGGGGGACAGTTTGTGGGTGTGATCATGACCTAAAGACGATTTAATACTTACCCCTGGACGATCCCACCAGAGAATCCTAAATGCTCAGAAAAGGATTCCTTTAGAAAAAAAGAAAAAATGTATTATGTGATTTAGTCACACAGTCAAGCATTACAGTTTAATTGTGGCTATATTTTGAGTAATTATTACTTAGTTTCCTATATTTTCAACATAAAGCCAACCTTGTGAAAAAAGAGAAAAAAGGCTTTTTTTCATTATTTTACCCTTGCTCCTGATATCCTGGAAATTATTATTATACGACACAGCTCGCAGTCTCTCAACTCATTAGTGTTACCTCTATTTGCTGGAACATGTAAGGATGGTTACAGATTTTTCTCAGCTGCATGATGGTGTTCATCAGTGTCTTTGTGCCTCCTTTGCCCTGGTAAACACAGAAGATAAAAATTAACTTATAGAATTGTGAATATTCCTTTCATTATGTCAGCTCTGCCTAAAAGGACTAATGAGTAAACACATAACTATTTTCCTGTACTGTAAAACCAACATGATTCCAATTATACCGTTTTAAGATTATTTTTCAAAATTGAATTCACTAATATGAAATCATGTTGCACAAACAGCAGCCAGACATTTTTGATTCTGACAGAACAGGCACTAGTACTTGGTTTTGTCCATAATCAAATGTAGACTTTTATTGTGGTGATGCACATTGATAAAGACATCCAACACTAAAAACTTCAGTGTCAGTGTATTTATGCGTTCACCTTCTTGTCTTTCTCTGATCCATCAGTGAGCAGGACCCCCTTGGCTTGCATGTGCCTATACAGCACCCTCTGAAGAGACGACATGTCACACTTGATCACGTATTCCACCTGACGGAGAGGAGACAAAGTAAGTATCTGTCATATAACTTCACAAAGGGACTTTATCCTAATACCGTTTAATTTGTGATTTGTGATTCCTGGGAAGCCATGATGGCGTGTCAATGAGCTAGCACGCGCAACATCCGGACACTGAAAGTAAAGTACCTAAATAGAATTCAGCCATCATCCCTTTTATTATTTACATCTGTGCTTTTCCTGTTGTGAAATGTAAAAACGTTTTTCACACAAATATATCTAAAGAACACAAGAAATGCTGTAATAGAAGGAATTGTTTCCCATCATCTGCATTTGGACCTGTGTTGGTGTGTTTAGATGTGTGCATGCTTGTCTGTTTGCTGAAAGAGGTGAGACTTGCTTTCTCTGGAAGCTGTGCCTCGACTTCCTTCTTTAATCTTCGTAACAGGAAGGGACGTAGCACTTTGTGGAGACGGCGAATAATCAAGATTGTCTCCTCTTCATTAAGATCCACCTGAAGAGGAAGAAAGAGAAACTTCTCGTTGCTATTTGACCTGTTGCAACCTCCCAAACACAAAGTAGCCCATGCTGTCTGCACACCTTCTCTCCAGTCATAGCAAAAGGGGCATTAAACCACTGCTCGAAGGTGCTGCAGCTCTTGAAAATGGTGGGCAGGAGGAAATTGAGCAGTGCCCACAGCTCAGGTAGTTTATTCTGCAGTGGAGTTCCTGTCAGGAGGACTCTCCGCGGAGCAAGGTAGTGGGTGTTGAGAACCTGGGTGAGTTTACAGTGGTGGTTCTTCATACGGTGGCCTTCGTCCACAATCATGTATTTCCAACGGATCTGGATGAGGACAGGAGAGGAGTACATCTGGATAAAGCCATAGTAACAATATTCTGCCTTATTGCTTCTGTCCAACCAAACCACAAACAGAAAGTGCTTAAAAGGACGCTTTCTTGTCCACTTTGTCCTCGTGACTAAAGCTGGTTGTGTCCCAAGCCAGAGCCTTGAGCCAGCACATGGGAAACGCTTGCCTGAACTACAACACCCACCTCTCAGCACAGTCAGGAACCCTATATGATTACATGAGTGCATAGCAGCATGATGGTCACAGAGGACAGTGGTGAGACGTGGTTTACAGGCCGTGTCAATGTGTTGCAGGACCTAGGAGAGAGCACTGAGACGCAGCAGAAGGGGGGAGTCAGATTGGCCAGACTCAAATACTTTTAGAGGATTTAGAGGGTTTGGGAGCCAACGTACAAAAACACACCAAAACCTCAAGCAAATTCGAATGACTAGCAAATAAATTATAAAAAGCAGCAAAATCTTGTTGTGTGTACATGTGTAGAGTGAAAGAATTACACTATGACTGCCTTTGGGTTTTTGTGCATTTCCTTGTCTGTGCACCCCATTTTACCTTGGCCAGCACTTGTTTGTCCTTGATGATGTATTCATAAGTGGTGAGTAAAACGTTAAACTTGCCACTACGCAGCTGAGGGACAAAGGCTCTTCTGGCAGCAGGAGACCCCTAAAAGACAGTAAAAATAGAACTTTAAAATAAAACTAAAAAAGCAAAAGGCTCCAATAGCATTAATCAAAGCATTTACAGAAACAGATACAGCTTTACAGTTTGCAACAAGAAATAAAAATAAAATGGAGATGGTGTGATTGCAAAAATTCACCTTATAGGACACTTTTACAACTGTTGGTGCCCACTTGTCAAACTCATACACCCAGTTAGAAAGAGTTCTGTCAATCAGAAACAGCTCAGTTGTTATTCAACAGTTCATTTTCTGTGTTTTACAGTGTTTGCTTAGATAAAGTCAGAGATAAAAGAGGATTAAAACATCTAAAATACTTTTACAGCTAATGGGGATTAGCTCACGAGAGGGGTACAATGATGAGGTAGGGTCCGTTGAGCCGTTTGTGCTCCATGAGGTATGTGATGAGGGCGATGGTCTGGATGGTTTTTCCTAGACCCATTTCATCAGCCAGGATCCCATTCAGGTTGTTGTTGTAAAGAGAAACCAGCCACTCCAGGCCTTTAATCTGAATGACAAAAAAGGTCTCTTCATGCTAACCTATATTCATGCTGCACAGGACCAGTAAATGAAAACACAATAAACTAAAAACAAGTCTAAAACAGATAAAAGTTCAGCTTGTGTGGTGCAACATTATTTAGAATTTTAACATTTTACCAAAGCAGTCATAACATGCCTTATCACGTATAGAAACCTTCAAATAAAATTGGCTACTATTTTTTTTTCCGTGTTCAAATAACATGACAAGAACATTAACTGAAATTTAATAAAAACACTGTTAGGAATCAGTAGTCAAGGATGAGCATTTATCATTGCTTTGTGTCTGTCTTTGTGTGTGCATCTTTACCTGATACTGTTTGAGCTGTCCATTTATCAACAAGCTGGACTGTTTCTCCACCTTCTCTGTGACAGCATGAGCCACAGAGTAATACGACTGGAGTCCTCGAGCAAACGCTGCTCCACTATACTCGTCATCTACATCCTGTTTAGCATTCCTGTGTATGATACATATTGAGTTTTATTCAAACCTATATTCAAACACCTTACAGGACCATGCAATGGCAAAATTAATTGAATAATTTGCACTACAATGAATGCAGGTGTAATAAGTTGCACATGTGCTCACTCAATGATGTGTCGGACGTCCACCTCTGATACATCCTCGCTGTCAGGATCGGTAATCTTCTTCTTTTCTTCTACTGGAGTTGCAGAAGGCTGAGGTTCTTCTTCTTCCTCCTGCAAGACGGCTTGTTAGTGAAAAGTCGTTTTCGACTCACTAGAGCAGTAAATATGAGTGTGAATATAAGTGCGTTAGAACATTTCTTACAACACAACCCACCTCCTCCTCTTCCTCCTCCTCACTGTCTTCACTGTCCGAGCGGGGAGCGACCTCGTAACTACACAGACATACAGGAATGATAAAACCATATACACTAAAAAAAAAAAAAAAAAAAATCTAAATCTATACTTTCACATTGTCTTTTTCAGGTGCATGTAACTTCCTAATATCTATTTCAGCCACATTACAAGCAAACAAAATTTTGAACTGATGAGAAATAATAAGAAAATTTTGTTTTTCTTAAACCTTTATAACTAGTGGAGCATAAATATATACTTTAGGTAGTTGCAGTAGAGATGTTTAGCCGTGTTTAGCAAACTAATATACACTTAGCTAGCTGGCACACTTACCATGTACCTAACTAGCACACTGATAGCATGCTAGGTGATGCTAAGCTATGTATATATAAATGATGTGAAACAATGTTTAACCCACTACTACACAGTTAGCTTGCAACCACTGTTAGCATGCTCGGTAACGAATAGTTTATACATCTAGAATGTTTAGAAATGCAATGCTTAGCACACTAACATATAGCTATCACATATATAACTTGCATGCTGTTAGCTTGCTAAGTAATATTAGGTTATGTTTATATCTATGATGTTCAGAAACACAGTGTTTAGTATGCTAAGCATACAGTTAGCCAGCTTGCATACTGTTAGCATGCTAGGTAAAGCTAAATCGTTTATATATCTATTTAGTGGTGTGATGTTTAGCATACTAACTTATAGTTATTGTTATCTAACTAGCATATTGGTAGCAAGCTAGGTAATGTTTAGGCTTGTATATAATATCCGTTTAGCAATGCAGTACTTAGCACAATAATATATAGCTAGGTAGCTAGCATACTATTAGCATTCTTTGTACTATTTATTAATGTATACATCTACAATGTTTAGCAATGCATTGTTTAGGACACTAATATATGATGCTAGTTAACTTGCATACATTTAGCATGCCTAGCAGCCTATTGTACAGTCATCTAATTTTAGCACACTAACATACAGTTAGCATGTACCTTGCTAGCATATTGTTAGCATGCCAGGTAATGTGTACTTGTGGCAGTTGGCATTTTTTAGCAAACTAACATGTATTTTGGTAATATTTAACATACTTTTTAAAAGTTATATTATTCCATTATGGTAATAATTAGAATGTTAGCACATTAGCAACTTAACTTTATAAATATAATATTTAGCGTCCCCACGTGCATACATTAGCATCTCATCCTGCCTGTACTAGATTTAATGGCAGTTCCTCCAATGCCAAAGTTTCAGCTGACACACCAACAGACTGACAGACGAGCACCAAGTGCCAAACCGCTTGCATGACTTTTACTTTGAAAAGATCTCGTTTCAAAGTAAAAGTCTTTTGCTTTCTCCATCCACTCTCACCCAGGGTTCATTTCCAGCCAGGTCTCCAGCTGTCCGGCTTTGGGAGCATCCACCCCTGTCAGGATGTTCCCACTGTCCACATGGATGACCTTCACAGGCAGGTCACTCATCTGGCTGGTCTCATCCAGAGGCTGCCGAGGAAAGAGGGAAGATATGTTTCAAGCTGAGCTTGCATGATTAAGCTTCATTTAATGGTGGCTGATGGATATGAGATGGAGCTTCAGATAATTAATCTGTGCAGGGAGGTAAAGTATTACATCAGTGATACTGCTGCCCAGTCAATTTAATACCCATTTAACCACAAGGAAATATCTATTAATAATTTAGTACAGAGTTCATTAATATTTTCTTACAACAAAAACATTCCATTCTCTTCTAGGTGTTAAGTGTGTTTATCATGTAGAACATTTGAACTGTTGACCTGTGAATTACGATTTATTCACTGATCACTAGCTGATTATTGGCTTTTATGTTTGGTCACCTGTTGCAGATCACAACATGTACTGTATATAACGTGATGTTTGTTAGTGCTGGTTGTACCTGATGAAGATTTCATTAAGAGAGACTTTTCAGTGAACAAAACTTTCATTGAGTGTGTGCACTCTGTCCTCCTTGCCATGACAACTGTAAAGGAAGTAGAACATTGCCCCCTGAGGCTTTGTGTGAAATCTGATCCATGCTTTGAACTGACATCTCTATGGAGACCGTAGAAAGCAACAACATAAAGAATAGGGCTTGTTTTGTTGGCTGAGCTTATTTAAAGAAAACTATTTCTATAAATAATGTATGTGAATGTGATTTGTCATCTATAGAACCTTTAGAAGGTGGCCAGGCTGATACGATCTACTTATAGATATATTAATTTATATATCTGAAGTCTTCATTCACTACACCTGCTGTACTCACCTCTCCATCAGGCCCCATGGCAGGAGTCTGACCTTCTGCATTCTCAAGCTGCAACATAAGCAGAAGTTGACTAATCACAAAGAGACCACATCCAAGTTGCAGCTGTGTTAGTCACTGAAACACATCAGCAGCACAGAACACATAATCAGAAAGACAGGTCGCTGATACTCAGTTTTCCGGAACTGTTTCCCATACCTTTTTCTTCTTCTTCTTCTTCTTTTTTTTCTCCTTGAGGGCCTGTGCAGCTTTGTGAGCTCTGACCAGCTCCGTAAGGTTGGCAACATACTCATCAGTTTGCTGCAGCAAGTAAGCCAGGCGCTTATCCTTCTTCTGGTCGATCAGTTTACGGTAGCCCTCCTCATCCTCAGCCTGGATAACAGATGGAGTTAAGTGTGTGTAGGAGGGTTTGTATACTGGTAAGTGTGTGATGTGCATGCTTGTGTAACCCTTTGTGTGTGGTGATATTAAGGTTTACTCTCACCATAAGCCTCCTCATCCTTTCTTTCTCAATACGCTCATTCTCCTTCTTCTGCTCCCGTTCGGTGTTGGCATGGTAGGTGGCCACAGCTTTGGTGAGTTTCTGAATTTTGCCTGTGATTGAACGATGGTACTCCTTGAAGTCTTTGGCATGCTGGAGGATGCTGTTGAGGTACTCCTAGATGAAAAATACACAGAAAGGAAGATGAAATGAGTCAGTAAAATGCACCACTTTCAATAAAGCCACAGGCAACTTCACAGATTGTCCGTTACCTGATGTTTTTGTCTACGTTTTCGCTCTTGCTCAATCTTCTGCTGTTTCTCCAGTTTCTCTGTGATGCGGGCCTCTCGTAGAGACTGACGCTTGCTTCGCTTGTAGGCTTTGGCATCAAGAGCGGTCTCTAGAGCTGTGTCACGACGCATACACACCACCACCTCTTGACGTAGCTGCGGTGTACACAGAAATATGAGCTCATCTGTTGGACTACTGTCACTAAAAAGTGCGAAGATCTCTGATCCACAGTGATGGAAAAGATGCATTATTGTTATGATAAAGATGTGCAGACGATGTAGTCCATACCTGTCTCTGGAAGTTAAGTAGTCGGAGGGCTTTGAGCTCTATAGTAGCTTTGGTACGTAAATCACCAGCCAGAGAACCCGGCAGGTTCTCCAGTTCAGCAATGCGATGGGTTATACGGGCCTGTAACCTGAATGAGCAAACAATACTACGTTATCATATTATTTTGAATATTACTGGTAAGCAGGTGAATGTGGGTGTATCTATACTGCTTTTTAGAAGTTAGTAACAATGAAAAGAACGATACATTTACAGAGGAATCTCTAAATCAATGTCCTGCTTAAGTGCCTTCGTCCTGAAGAGTCAGCTAGTTAAATGGTAATTCAGGCATAGTCTACACCATTAAACTAAATGTGATAGATTACAGTACATATCCCCTCAAGGCTCCGGTGTACCTGTACTCCCTCTCCTGCAGGATCTCCACTGGGTCGAGGCCACAGGGTTTCTGAATGGGAGTAATGCGGTTCTGCTTGGCGTGGTAAGGCATCATGGGAGTAGGCTGTGCCGGCTGGCCTGGGGACTGGGTCTGTGGGGGCATTACGGGGGAGGCAGCTGGGGGAACTGAAGGGGGAGCAGGAGAGGGCCGGCCAGTGGGCTGAGGGGGGATCAGCTTTTGGGGCGCGTTGGAGGGGGCAGCTGCGTTCACCATGGGGCCTGGAGGTAGGTGAGGTAAGAGACAGAAAAAAAATCAATACAGTATGATGAGCATTATAACCGTATGCAAGAAAAGCCCAGATGTGACTAATGACATTTGTAGATTCTTCTCCATTTAAGTGTCTAAGCCAGTTATGATATCGAGGCAGCATACTTACTTCCATGACTCTGAAACTGTGACCTTTAATTGTAATGTAGCCTCCATTAAAGTTTTAATTAGTACTTTTCCTGTTGTGGCATGTAAACGTTTCAGCTATGAAACAGATCTATATTTAAACTAAGTGAATGAATGAGCTTTATTATTAGGGTATATCTGACCAGAGCTTACAAAGTGAGCCTCTTACCAAGGACACAGACTCTTATATTTATAATCAAGAAAATTGAATTATGACTTAAAAGACCAGAACTGACCTTACACACTTGCATATGAACACACAATTTCCACTTATACTACTATCTAAGCTAGGTTTTACCAGAGATTCTCCTAAAAAAGAGAAAGCCAGGTTTCACATGGTAGCAGCACTACGCACCCTCAGGCCAGGACTTAGGAGGTCCGTTGGGGTTTTGCCCCTGCATCCCAGCTGGGGTCCCTGATGGGCCTGGAGGAGGCATGTTGGGACCCATCATTCCTAAGACACAAAACAGTACAGGCTGTCTTCAAAACACAGGTGTCTTAAAATCTCAGAGGAATACTGTGGGAATTTTTTGAGCATTTGCGTGAGACTCTGTTAAACGCAGGTATTACATTACCACCATAGCATGTATTCCAGACATTCCCCATGCATGCTTACCATGAGCTCGGCTGTAGCCTGATCCCATTGGCCCAGGACCTGGTACTGGTCCTGTTGGACCACCTCCTGGTCCCCCTCCAGTTCCAGGAGCCAGGCTGGGCATGGGCTGCTGCTGCTGCATCCCTGGCATTGGCCTCTTTCCTTGTACAGCCATTTGGAGGTGGTCCGGCAGGGGCTGTCCCCGGGCCAGCATCTTATAAGCCATGATCTGGGCTCTGAGTTGGTGAAGCTGATTCTGGTTGAAGGGAGTCGGGCCACCAGGGCCACCAGGAACTGCAGGGCCAGCAGGGCCAGTAGGGCCGCTAGTTTCGAGACCAGAACCAAGGCTAGGGACATTAGACCCAAGATTGGGTCCAGGGTTGGGTCCTGGTCCAGAGCTGCCTGGAGGACCTGGACGATTGTTAGGACCCAACGTGTGCTGATCTGCACTGGGGCCATCTAAAGGCGTAGAGGCAGAGCCAGGGCCACCAGAGGATGAGGAAGAAGAGGACGATGGCATAAGAGGTCCAGAGGGAGGACCATTTGAAGGGACGGGGCTGGAGTGGTCAGAGCCGCCTAATGGAGAGTGGTAGCCTGGAAGACACAGACAGAAAGACAGACAGGTGGAGAAAGTCAGTCACATGTCGTGCTTAAAGAAAAAGTTCAATATACGTTATATATTATATGCTTGTGGACCTGAAGTCAAGCACAGTGACCTCGCTACATCTGGCCAAGACATATTCTCACATATACAACCCCATAAAACCACAACTTGTCATTTTTTCACCCTACCCTGTTTCCAGTCTTTATGCTAAGCTAGCTAATCAACTGCTGCCTCTAAATTCATACTTAACACATAGACAAGAACGAGGTACAATTTTCTAATTTAACAGTTGGAAAGAAAGTGAACTGCATTTCTCAAAATGCCAAATGCCAGACAGCGTAGCCAAATAAGCTCAGAATTGTTGCCAAACACTGATCAAATCCCGCCAGACTGTTGTTTCAAAAGTTTTTTTTTTTTCAAAACTGATTCATAGCCTGTCTGTCTGCCGGTCTTGTTTCAAGCTGTACACCTTCCTATCAGCAAACAGCAAGCAGAGGCCAAACTACAAAATTGCTGCCCGACCATAAACACTGCATTTGTTTGAGCTAGACTGAGCTGTGACACTGTATGACTCTCAGTTTCTCATTTTTTTGTAAATATAAAGTGTGTGAAACAAAGGCACAGATCATGTCATAGCTTGTGACAGCAGAGACACTCCCTGTGAGCCAGTCGACCACATGACCACACCACTGCGGATAAGTCACACTTTGAAAGCACACCACCAATCTTACACAATGCTGGAAAGAAATAAATTGCTTAAGCCCATGTAGCATGTTTACCTTGTGAGTGTTGGTCCAGAGGACTGGGTGGGGGGCCCATCCCACTGTGCCCGCCCTGTCTCATAGACAGTCCCTTCATCTGACTGAAGCGGCTCTCGTCACTCAAGCTCTTCTCGTGCATACCCTCCATAGGCTGTGGGAGAAATCAAACAGTGCTGAAGTTGGAAAATCTGTTTATTAAACTATAAGACAGTTGCAGCTGCTAAAGTATTACTTTTGGGGGGGAGCAATGGAAAGACATTAAAATTAGTACAAAACAGTAATAATATGAAAATAATGCACAGTAAAGATGTGTTAGATAATGTCAATTCAAACATGTTAAAAACAGTGGATTCTTTGTGGCGAATATTGGAAAGAATCGCTGGTTTCCAACAAAACCAGTTTTACAGGTGCAAGAATGTACTTCTTGCATTGTAGATGAAAAAAATAAACAAATAAAGTGAAATTGCTATAAAGGGAAAATCATATGATGTCTGACAAAAAAATATTCTGGAAAACTGGCAATACTGAAACAGACTATACTAGAATATGTGTATTAATGAACAAAAAAAATGTCATTATTCCTGGTTTTTCCTCTGCTAGATACTTTAGATAACTTTCTTTTCTTTTTCTTTTGCTTTCTACCTAAATTTAGGTAGAGGGTTTGATTTTATGTACGTGTTACAGTGGATAAACATTGGTGACGGCATGTGTCTCTTAATGAAATGCTGCAGTGGGACAGTTGTATCTTAAAGTGTAAAGAGTAAAACAAAACATAATAAAAACAGAGTGAATGAATGTGTACTGGTGCAAATCTTCATTGCTGCATGACAGACTGTATAGTTGAAACCAGAAGTTTACATACACTGTAAAAAAAGACATAAAACCTTTTTTTTCTCACTATCTGACATTAAATCAGACTAAACTTTGCCTGTTTTAAGTCAGATAACCGAAATTATTTCTATTTGCTAAATGCCAAAATAAAAACAGAGATAATTTTTTAGAGAATTTTTTATTACTTTCTTCAAAGTCAGAAGTTTACATACACTAAGATTACTATGCCTTCAAACTATTTGGGAAAGCCCAGATAATGATGATGTAATGGTTTTGGAAGCTTTTGATAGGTTAATTGACATTTACCTGGAGGCACACCTGTGGATGTATTTTAAGGCACACCTCAAACACACTGCTGCCTTTTGTGACAACATGGAAAATCTAAAGAAATCTGCCAAGATATTAGGAAGAGAATTGTGGACCTCCACAAGTCTGGTTCATCCTTAGATACAATTTCCAGATGCCTGAAGGTTCCAAGTTCATCTGTTCAAACAATTATATGCAAGTATAAACACCATGGGAATGTCCAGCCATCATACTGCTCAGGAAGGAGACGAGTTCTGTGTCCCAGAGATGAACAGGTTTTGATGCGAAATGCACATATCAAACCCAGAACAAAAGCAAAAGACCTTGTGAAGATGCTGCTGAAGCTGGTAAAAGAGAGTCATTATCCACAGTGAAACAAGTCCTGTACCGACATGGGCTGAAAGGCTACCCAGACAGGAAGAAGACATTACTCCAAAAGAAACATAAAAAAAGACAGATTACAGTTTGCAAATGCACACAGGGACAAAGACCTTCATTTTTGGAGTCATGTCCTGTGGTCTGATGAAACTGGAATTGAACTGTTTGGCCATAATGAGCATTGTTATATTCGGAGGGAAAAGGGGGAAGCTTGCAAGTCTGAGAACACCATCCCAACTGTGAAGTATGGGGGTGGCAGCATCATGCTGTTGGGGTGTTTTGCTGCAGGAGGGAGTGGTGCACTTCACAAAATAGATGGCACCATGAGGAAAGAACAATATGTGGAAATATTGAAGCAACATCTCAAGACATCAGCCAGGAAGTTAAAGCTTGGGCGCAAATGGGTCTTCCAAATGGACAATGACCCTAAGCATACCGCCAAATTAGTTGCAAAGTGGCTTAAGGACAACAAAGTCAATGTTTTGAAGTGGCCATCACAAATCCCTGATCTCAAACCTGTAGAAAGCTTGAGGGCTCGTGGTGCGAGCAAAGCGGCTTACAAACCTGACTCAGTTACACCAGTTCTGTTAGGAGGAATAGGTCAAAATTCCAGTAAAGCTTGTGGAAGGAAACCCAAAACATTTCCCCCAAGTCATACAGTTTAGAGGTAATGCTACCAAATACTAAGGAATTTTATGTAAACTTCTGACTTTGAAGAAAGTAATAAAAAGTTCTCTAAAAAATGTTCTCTCTCATTATTTTGCCGTTTGGCAAATAAAAAATAATTTTGGTAATCCTAACTGACCTAAAACAGGAAAAGTTTAGTCTGATTTAATGTCAGACAGTGAGAAAAAAAGGTTATGTGTCTTTTTATACAGTGTATGTAAACTTATGGTTTCAACTGTATCTGCTGCCTGTCAATGATTGTAATGTTTAATTCATTATTACAATATTATACATTTATATTATTCTTACAGACTAAATAAGTAATGCATTGGTTTGAGGCCACCTCTGTTGAATAGAGGCCTGAATTAATCAGCAGGAGGTGGAGGGTCTCAGTGGGACTGCTGCTGTTTGCATGTCCTTACTTTATGCAGGGCGTGCATGTTGTCAGGGCCGTATCCAGAGGGTCCTGGCTGCGAGTGTCCAGAGGACGGAGGACCAGGGCTGGGGCCCATCATGCTGTGAGAGGAGCCTGGGGAGGGCCCGGGGCTGGGGCCCAGCATGGCGCCAGGGGAAGGACCCGGACCAGGGGAGGGACCTGGGCGAGGGGTGCCTCCCATGGGGGGATCTGGCGTTGACATGGCCCTGGATCTCCTGCTCCTGGTTGAGCAGCAGGGACCTGACAGAAAGGAGAGAAATTTTCAACACTCAGAACGATGGCAATGCAATTTGCAGAAGTTATTTATCTAAATAAGAATTTAATAAGTGGTTTGATTAAAGAGGATACAAAAAAATAAAATAAAAATAAAAACAGTACAGTGAAGCTGAGCTTCTGACTTGAGCTGTGCTTTTCTGATAAGGAATGTGGGTGCACAATCTTTGGGTGATGGGTGAATTTTGTCCAACGCGTATCAGATGTGGAGTCTCTATTCTCCTACTGCGCTGCACCAAATCACCCGTTGCGCGCACATGCAATCAACCCTAGCTGCCGGCTGCACCGCTGAACCGGAGTTGCAGACGGGGATATACAGTAAATTATGCACATACTGCTGAGAATTCCCTCTCTAAGACCACGAAAGGGTGTCTCGTTAAATATTAAAAAAAGGGAATGGCGGACAGTGCTTGTGCGACTGACCTACCCGCATCCACAGGACAGGCAGTCCCGGGTGGATCTCTGCGCTCCCGAGCTGATATTTGTGGGGAGACTAAAGAAGACGCAGCAGTTACCGCAATTAGTCTACTCACCCTCTTTGTAATCTGCCTTCAACCGTTGATTTGTTTCACCGACGTGGCTCGAGCGCCCCCCTCCACCGATCTTATGACCGAATGTCTAGTCACGGCCGTCCAGCAGTGCGCATGCGTGCGCAGCGGCAGCAAACCTCTATTCACAGTGTGGTTTAAGTCTGAACTGAGGTCTGAAGATGCACAATAGTCATCTGAAATGCCGCACACATTTAAGAATACAAATAATTCATAACACATACAGCTGGCAAATCACCCGGTAATTATGAATAAACGAATCCAGTAAATAATACAGGAAGCTAATAATAATAATAATAATAAATATGATATTTAAAAGAGAACGGTACAGGAGCACAATCCCTCTAGCAAAAAGTGAGAAAAAAATTGTCAGAACATTTCTTCAGATATTTTGTCTCCTCCAAGAAAAGGATGATTGAGTCTATTATTAAAATAAAGATATACACATAAAGTAATGAAAAGATAAAACATCCCTGATAAAATGTACTGGCTTTTGTTGCATTGTCTACTGTGGACCTTGTATCTGTAGTATAGAGAATCTAAACTGTTATAGAAGCTAAACTTCTGCTACTGCGGGGAAAGTTAGAAAGGATGGGAGTGGACTCATGCTTGGTGGACTGGATCTCTGACTACCTCACTGACAGACCACAGTATGTCAGACTGAAGGACACCACATCTGACACTGTGGTCAGCAGTACAGGGGCCCCTCCGGGGACAGTGCTGGCCCCTCTCCTCTTCACCATGTACACCTCGGACTTCTGTTACAACTCGGGGCTGTGCCACATACAGAAGTAAGCAGATGACACAGCCATCATGGGGTGTATCAAGGATGACAGAGAGAGTGAGTACAGGAGTCTGGTGGACGACTTTGTTGTCTGGTGCAAAGAAAATCACCTGCAGCTCAACGCCTCAAAGACAAAGGAACTGGTCATAGACTTCAGGAAATCTGGACCATGCCCATGACCAGTTCTGATTGAGGCACATGAGGTTGAACTTGTACAAAACTACAAGTACCTTGGGCTGTGGCTGGACAACAAGTTGGACTGGACATGCAACACAGACTACCTGTACAAGAGGGGACAGAGCAGGCTGTACTTCCTGAGGAGGTTCAACATCTGCAGGAAACTCCTGTGGATGTTCTACCAGTTGGTGGTCGCCAGCGTCCTTTTCTACGGCGTGGTGTGCTGGGGCAGCAGCACATCAAAAAGGAACGCATCAAGGCTGGACAAATTAATCAGGCGGGCCAGCTCTGCAGTGGGCATGAAACTGGACTCCCTGGTGACAGTGGCAGAGAGGAGGACACTGAACAACTGCTGGCCATCATGGACGATGCCAGCCACCCTCTGCACACTGTCATCATCGCCCAGAGGAGCCAGTTCAGCGACAGGCTGCTGCTCCCCAGGTGCAAAACTAACAGGACCAAAAACTCCTTTGTTCCCCGAGCCATCAAACTGTTCAACTCTGAGCTCGGGGGAGGGGGAGGAGCAGCAAGTGGGGAGAGGTGGGGAGCGAGGGGTGAGGAGTGAGGACATTGGGGTGAGATAGAGCATCATGCTCTATCACCAGACTGTGTGGAATATTTAGGCACTTTGGCAATTTTGTTACTGTATCCATTATTATTATTATTACTATTATTACTAATGTTGTGTTGGTGTTGTGTTGTTGCTAGTACAACAATTCCCCTGAGGTTCTACCAAAGGGATAAATAAAGTTCTATCCATCCATCTATTGGTAATTTTACACAAGAGCAAATACCCAACTGTTCAATGTAGAAGCAACGTACTTATTGTGGAATGTTTCAGTTTGGATCAATGACATTTAAGTGCTATTGCACGAGGAAGCACTCCTGTTGTATGCTGTAATTACTGCACTCATCCACCACTGTGATGAAAGAGAAAATATCAGTGACAAATCGGAGACATCAGCATGCTTGTGTTCTAATCTTTAGGTTCTTGCTGAGATATTTCACATCCGTTGGTGAGTACAAGTTAGCGTCATACCACCTCTGAACCATGAAAGACGAGTTTCCAGCACAGTGTAACTGCAAAACAAAGTCATGCTTAATACACTCGTTCTTCTGAGCAAATCATTTTCCAAAGACTACCACTGCATTTAGTTCTTCTTTTTCACAGTTTACAGGTATGAACAAAATAGAGTGCAGATCTTCAAATGTACAAATCTACAAAGTATGGCACACAAATAAAATGGAATTCCAGTGTTTGAAGTTTAATCAGGACAATAAACTCAATAACAGTAGTAGTGCAACTTCCAGTAGTAGCCTTCATGTAAAAAAAGGGACAAACAAAACACACTCACATTGCAACTGAAGTTTAAAGATCGAACTCTATTGAGCTTGAGTTGGTCTTATTTACTTGGCTGTATAACTTTGCAAAATAAAACGTAGAACTTACTCGTACTTAAATAAAGAGAGCTGTTTTAGTTTTTACTTTGCAAAAGTATCCAGGTCACTCTGTAATCCTGCTTCATGAGGGAGTCAAACAGGTAAAGACAGACGTCCAACTCCAGCTGAAGGGGATCATTTCTCTTCACACCTGAACGTGGTAGTAGTAGCTCTTTAAGCAGCAGGAACAATGTAATAGCAGATTTTTTTTTAGAGTGTTTTATGTTTCTAAATGATAAATAATAAAGAGCCAAAGCTGCGGGTGTTTGGAATTGAGGCCCAAGGGTCATTCGTGTGATTTCAGCCAAACTACAATGAATTCACATCCGTTCAGGACGCTCCTGGAAGAATCTGAACCTTTTTTGGGGTGCAACGTGATGGACTCCTCAATGCATCTGTACAATTAAAGACTAAACAAATAAATTACACTAACCCATCACTCACATTCGCAAACACACATTCATAAACCTGATAAATAAATGTAAAGAATGAAAGATAAAAACGAGATGTACAGCAGATGGCATAATATACAAGTCAAGATCTATATGAGGCAGCCCCCCCCACCTGACCAGTGAGCGCATTAAATATTAAGAAGATCTTCTGTCGAGTGTAATTTTGCTTGACTGTGAGGGTTTTAGATGTTTGATGAAACGACCAGTGAAGCAGTGCTCCAGCCAGTACTCATTAATGCCTGTTAGCTTTTAATTGTCACCCACACAGAGGTGATGAGGGAGACACACTAAAGAGCAATATCCAGCCTGCAGGTACACCCTCAACAGAGTCGTGTCTCTCTTTTAAACAAAATCAAGTGTCTATGTCTGCCTCCTATAGGTGGCAGCTGGGAGAGCATCTTCCTCAGAGCCTTAAAGGAAGACAAACTCATCACTGTTACTTCTGTTGTTACTCCTGCCCAGTTTGCCCGGAGGAAGGATGTGAGCTGCAGGTCCGCTGTGGTTGCTGCTGTGACCTTCAAGTCCATAGTCCTGACTCTGGCCCTCTACAAAGGTAAAGACGGGGTACTTCTCCTTGGATGATGACAGAGCCTGGCAGGATTTTCAAAAAACACTCAGTCAAATAGATGGTCTCAAAATATCACAGAATACAGTCGTCCTGAAATGTATTCATACCCTTCCACTAAAGAAAAGGCAAAATTTACAATAGTCACTCAAGTAACAAGAAACTGAAAAAGTAATAATAAAAATTTGCTAAACTATAATTTAGTGAAGTAAGACATTGCTTTTGAACTGTGGTTGAAAAGAATAATTAAAAAACAAACAAACCAAAAAAAAAAAACTGTCCTGAACAAATTGGAGCACTTTGCTGATGAGCAGTGGGCCAAAATCAAAATACCTATCAACAGGTGCAGAAGTCTGATTGAGAGTTACAGAAGACACTTGATTGCAGTGATTGCCTCAAAGGGTTGTTCAATAAAATATTAGTTTACAGGTCCCATTGTGCTTGTTAGTCTGTTTTTTTTGTTTGTTTGTTTGTTTTTTTTGAAAAAAAAATGTTAAACCACAATTTTAAAGCAATGTCATGATTTTCATAATTTTTTTATTTATTATTACATTTGTCAATTTCAACTTATTTCAGTGACAGCTGTTTTTGTCCATCTTGAATGGGAGGGTATTAATAAATTTGAGGATGACTGTATATCATATATGCAGGTGGATTAAAAACATGTCAGACTAAAAGAGTACACACATACAGCCTTCAACAAGTTTCTGGGCAAAAGTTACCATAGTTATAATTAGTGGATTATTTTCACAATTACTTGTGTTGAGTATGTACAGTGTATGAAGGTGAGCAACTAAGAATTTTTTTTGTTGATTGCTCTGGTTGTCACTTTTTCATGTTGACAGTGATGTTAAATTTATTATCATAGACAATAAAGAAAAGCAGCAAAGACACACATTTCTGAAACTGTAACCAGAGCATGATTGGCACTATTTGCTTAAAATAATGGCTGAAATAATCAATTGTCAAAGTAGTAGCAGAGTAACGGCCGGTTGACTAATTGTTCCAGCATTAAATGTATTTTCCCAGGGCACAATGTGATGTCTTCAAATTGCTTGTTGTTGTCCACCTAAAAGCACTGAACTCAGACATGGAATTTGTAATTATGTAAAACACAGAAAAGTAGTAGCTAGTCATTTTTAAGACACCTGCCACCTTTTTAGTTTCAACAATTAATTAATGGAAAAAATTGTTTCAGCATTTTGCTCTAAATTTGATGAACAGATACACACAGAATAGAAAACAGAAGCTGCAATTTTCTGCCCATTTCTGGCAATCACTGTTGTTAAAATTAGAGTCACATAAGTGGGAGGAGGGTGTAAAACTCACCATGCTAACAGCAGAACATAGAGACTCAAAGTCTTTCTTGTTCTTGGCGTAAAAGCCGATCGTGCAGCTGGGATCCATGCGGTTGAAGGGCATCTTTTTGGGAGAGCTACAGTGGAACGACTGCAGAGTGATAAAAGGAGACATGGATTATGTCAACAGAATCAAATGATACCAAGTCAATAACTGGATAACCATCTGTAAAAAGCACATATTATGTTCTTGAGTTGTTCCCTTCCTTTAGTGTTTTATGTAGTGTTCTTTATAGCTCTCCCCAAAAGGGGTTATTCTTTCCCACAGAAAACACTATCCTGCATCTGCCTGAGCCGCCTCATTTAAAGTCTGTGTGTTTCTTCTGTTACTTATTTATGTCACAATGCAACATATTTGCATAATGCTTGCCTAGCGGCTAGTTTGGCGCTGCTTCAAAGAAAGAATGAACAGCTGCATAGCAGTCTGCCACTATGTCTTCACTGGAGCCAATTCTGCCAGTGCTACATTCTCATAATCAGAGATACGACATAACCAACATAGGCTGACTTTCATCGGACTAGCTGACCAATCAAATTATACTGTGCTTTCACGAGGGAATCCTAAAAGAGACAGGGGCTAAAACAAAAGTGCTTCAGCAAATAATGTTTCTTTTTTTACATTAAAATAATGTAAACATATTCTTGTAAAGCCCAAAATAATATTTTTGAAACTTGTAAATGTGGGCTCTTTAATTTTACTTACAAACACTGTTAGGTGTGAAAGTGACATTGTTCAAGTGCAGAATTATCCGAGAAAAACAGATAAAAAGGCTAATATGAAGGTGCAAGAGAGGTAATGAGACATGCAGTTGGGGCAACAAACCTCCAGTGAAAAGTTGACCTGTGTGACATCAATCATCGGCTGGCAGTAGTGAGGGTCCAGATACAGCAGTTGCTCATCTGCCACATAGAGAGGAATGACACACATGGACAAAATTGTTGGTACCCCTCGGTTAATGAAAGAAAAACCCACAATGGTTACAGAAATAACTTGAATCTGACAAAAGTAATAATAAATAAAAATTCTATGAAAATTAAGCAATGAAAATCAGACATTGCTTTTGAACCGTGATTTAACAGAATTATTTAAAAAAAATAACTCATGAAACAGGCCTGGACAAAAATGATGGACCCCTAGAAAAGACTGAAAATAATGTGGCCATAGGGACATGTTCAATCAAGGCGTGTCCTCTAATTAGCATCACAGGTGTCTACAAACTTGTAATCACTCAGTCAGCCTATTTATAGGGTTACAAGTCGTCACTGTGCTGTTTGCTGACATGGTGTGTACCACACTAAACATGGACCAGAGGAAGTGAAGGAGAGAGTTGTCTCAGGAGATTAGAAGAAAATTATAGACAAGCATGTTAAAGGTAAAGACTATGAGACCATCTCCAAGCAGCTTGATGTTCCTGTGACTACAGTTGCACATATTCAGAAATTTAAGATCCATGGGACTGTAGCCAATCTCTCTAAACGTGACCACAGGAGGAAACTTGATGACAAATCGAAGAGACTGATAATACGAATGGTAACAAAAGAGCCCAAAACAACCTCTAAAGACATTAAAGGTGAGCTCCAAGGTCAAGGCACATCAGTGTCAGATTGCACCATCCGTCATTGTTTGAGCCAAAGTGGACTTCATCGGCGACGACCAAGCAGGACACCATTGTTGAAAACAAATCATAAAAAAGCCAGACTGGAATTTACTAAACTGTATGTTGACAAGCCACAAAGCTTCTGGGAGAACGTCCTATGGACAGACGAGACAAAACTGGAACTTTTTGGCAACGCACATCAGCTCTATGTTCACAGATGCAAAAATGAAGCATATCAAGAAAAAAACACTGTCCCTACTGTGAAACATGGAGGAGGCTCTGCTATGTTTGTTAACTTCCTGTGCGAGGTAATGATCTATCGTGGGAGGAAGTGAGACCTCTCTATGTTATTGGTTTTGCTCCGGCAATGAACATGGCGGTGAAAACAAACTTTCTCGGAAACGAAAGACGTTTTTTTTTTTTTTAGCATTTTCATGGTAGCAGAGGATGGTTACCAATTACAGAGTACCGCCGAAGTTCGACGAAGCCAGGCCATACGAGTGCTGGAAAAGAGACTTGTTACGGACTTGGACAAAAAGAAGCAGGCACTGGCGGTGGTGCTGGGGCTTGAAGGGAGAGCCAGAGAGACTGCTTTGGAAATACCCGCGGATGATCTGAACCAAGACAACGGTATGGAAACCTTGCTAGCTAAGCTGGACGCGGTATTCTTAAGAGAAGAAAAAGACCGCGCTTATGAAGCTTATTCCCATTTTGACTTGGTATCCAAAGACAGTGCGGTGTCCATGGCGGACTACATAATAGATTTCGAGCAAAGATACAACCGCATGAAGAAGTACAACATGACCTTGCCTGACGCTGTGTTGGCGTTTAAACTCCTGGACACGGCTTGTCTCAAGGAGAAGAGTAGGCAGCTAGCGCTCACAGCGTGCATGGATTTCACATTTGCCTCCATGAAGTCAGCACTGAAGAGGATTTTCGGAGGAAAACTACCGGAGTAAGCAACGGCAGCGAGACTCAAGATGCAGCCTTTTTCACAAAGCAACGATCACCAGGCAAATTCAGACAGAGCCCGTCACAGAGCAGACAGCGGCAGCCACAGAAAGGTACTAATCCACTCGACAAGTACGGTAAGCGAACAAAATGCGCCATTTGCCAGAGCATGTACCATTGGGCTAAAGACTGTCCTCATCGGAGGAATGAAGTTAAGTTGACAGAAGACGGTAACGTAGAGGAGTGTAACATTACACTGTTTACCAAAGCAGTAATTACGGACTCTGAGATCTTCCTAGCTGAATCACTGGGATCAGCTATCATTGACACTGCATGCACACGTACCGTTTGTGGGGAGAAGTGGCTGGATAGTTACATTATGGACCTGAGCCAAAGCCAAATCAACAAATTGCTACAGACAGAATCTCCAAGCTGCAGACCTTTCAGATTTGGAGATGGTCAAGTGGTACACTCCAACAGAGGAGTAAAGCTTCCTGCCAAGATCGGTCAAACAAAATGCCACATTGTAACTGAAGTTGTTCCTGCTAATATTCCCTTATTGCTGAGCAAAATGTCTCTAAAGAGAGCAGGAACTGTTTTAGACATGGAGAATGACAGAGTTGTCATGGTCAAGCAACCAGTGCCTCTTGAGCTCACAAGTTCGGGACACTATTGTGTGGACATTAGAGATACAAATGCAGAAGTGAGCTGTAATGAAAGTGAAATTCTCATTGTCACAGCAGAGATGTCTACAAAAGAGAAGCGTAAAGTTCTCGTGAAGCTTCACAAGCAGTTTGGCCACGCCTCCGCAGACCGGTTGCAGAGGCTTATCCAAAGCTCTGGAAATACTGACAAAGATTGTTCAGTCATTCTACAGGAGATCATTCGTGACTGTGAGATATGTCAGAGATACAGCAGGACCAAGCCCAAACCTGCGGTTGGTTTGCCCTTAGCCTCAGAATACAACGAAACTGTGGCAATGGATCTACATGAGCTGGAACCCGGTGTATGGTACCTCCACATCATCGGCCACTTCACATGCTTCAGTGCTGGAAATATTGTGAGGACCAAGAAGCCCTTGGAGATCGTCAACTCCTTCATGCACTCGTGGACAACGGACAACGGTGGAGAGTTCAACAATGAGGAGAATAGAGACATGGCAGAGGAATTCAACATTGAGACGAAGACTGCAGCGGAATACAGTCCATGGAGGAACGGGCTTTTTAAATAATACTGTTAAACCCTGGTTCAAAAGCAAGGTCTGATTTTCATTGGTTAATTTTCACAGAATTTTTATTTATTATTACTTTTGTCAGATTCAAGTTATTTCTGTGACCATTGTGGGGTTTTCTTTCATTCACCGAGGGGTACCAACAATTTTGTCGATGTGTATAAATCACAGCATTACACTATAAAATCAATTAAGTGCTAATTGACCACATACAGAAAAATGGCTCTGCCATATATTACTGTCATAACATTTCCCCTATTCTCAAATCTAGTTCCCCACTGACTGTCATAGCAGTTATCAAAGCAGAGCAGAGAGGCCAAAGCCAAGAGAGAGCTATATATTTCACTTCCTTTTAATAATGACAGATGCTTGCTCCAGTAAAAATCTGCATATGTGTTAAAAAAAAAAAAAAAGAGCCCACTTCCCTCTTAAAAAGTGTAACTCTATAACAAGGTTTGGCTTTCACACTTTTATTATAGAGTCATTGTTCCAGAAAGAGGAAATTAGTGACATGTTAATTTTGGGAAGTGTTTGTTTGCCTGCCAGGTTTTAAGTCTGTCTCAGCAGCGGTTACATCATCTAAGTTCCTGATCAATGCAATCAATCCAATATTTCCTATTGCTTACGTGCTGAAACAAATATGAGAGATTTAAGGACAGCAGACATATGTTACATGTTCAGCAGAAGTATACAATGGCTGATTTATCTTGAGAACACAGAGGAACATTTACTTCCCTTAAGTATTTACAAGAACAAGAATAAGAGGCCGATTCTCACCTTGAAAGCCAATGAAGTAGAGCGAATGCTTCGGTTTTCCTCCAATTATCCCAATACAACAATCCAGCTTTAGAATGTTCTGAAAATGAACACAAATGTTAAAGACATTATGTTAGGCAATTACAACATTCTTCTTGGGCACACAAAGGAATCAGTGGATGAATGGCGTGAAGCAGAACATACCAACCTTGACACATTCAATGTAGGACGGGTTGAGGGCCTCCCCTCCCAGCCGAACAGGCACCAGTATGATGACAGACTTCCAGGCTTGGCTGGATGGATCAGGGACAGTCTGGCTTAGTGACAGATCACACAGACGCACCACGTCCTCTCTGTACACTACAATGCAAAGACGTAAAACAAAAAAAATATTAGAGCAAATAGATGAACATTCTGATATCTCTGAACTTAACTCTCACAATCACAAATTATGAAACTGAACAAATATCTTGTCTAAAAATCTCACCTGTACAATCCTGAGCCACATAAACAGCCAGGTTTTGGACCACAGAGGTTTTTGCAACAGCTTTCCTAAGGGAAAAAAATAAGAACTTCATGACTGCTATAAATGCTTAACTGTGTGAACTGTGTAAATTATTTCAAAAAATAGTAAAGCCTTGCTTGTAAAAACATTCCCTCTTTAAACATAAAGCCCTTACCGTAGTATGTGTGCCACTATACAGGGGCCGTACCAGTCACCAGCCTTCTTCCCCGAACCTTTGCCAATTTCCACCAGCTGGTGAACACCGAAAGGTGCCAAGGGTTGATCCCCAAACCAGGTGACAAGCTTGTGGTGGATGGGTTCTGCTTGCCGGTCCTTTACAGACTCAGGCCATTTCTTCTGGCCACATCTGGATGCCTGACTGCTTGACAGGGACTTCTCAGGGGTGTTGGATCCTCGCGGAGAACCAAAGGAAGGGATGGGGACCCCTCCGGCCCGAGCCGGGGACCGTGGTCGGAATACTTCAAAGTCCACATCAGTTAGCTGCTGAGCATCTGGCCAAGCCCAATCTATAGAATACAGAAAGACTTGTACTTAGTATGTAAGTACAGCAAGGCGGAATCTGCTTGTATTTTATCCTACAGTCTTTCACACTCAGTGTAGTTTCTTCTGAGTGGCATAAGAATTAGTATGGGCACACAATGAAATCATGTTATAAATAGACACAGCAGAAGAAAAGCAGTGCACAAGGGACTTTGAAGACAAACAACAGTACAAAAAGAAAGAAACAAAAAAGGGGTTATAAGGCCTAGAAAATATGGGGATAAAACAAAGGGAAAACTAGCAGAGATAAGCAGCTAAATATACTAAGTTTGACTAAATAAAGGCAGACAGCAGAAATATAAGGAGGAGCAACTGGACAAAGACAGAGGATAGAAGGAGATCAGGTGGTATTTTTAGATTTTGGTTTTACTTGTGTTGTGCAGACATAAATACATGCAAGTATCATACTTAAGCGAAAACAGGAGTTTTTTTCCCTGCTAATCAGGCTGCAAAAATTAACCAGCCTGTTAGAAGGCGCTGACTGGCTGTCTCATACCACCAAATCCATGTAAAAATGTGTGTAACAGATGGAGAGACACACACCTCTGGGCATCAAATGGACCAGGAGCCCCTGTGCCAGCAGCATCTGCCCACTGCGCAGCATGCAGCCCCAGCCACAGTCTGTAGTCCAGGTGGAGCCCTCCAGCTGAGGGAAATCCCTCCTGTAGGTCAGCCAGATCCTCGACACAAAAGCCAGACGGAACCGCTCCACCTCGTCTGAGAGGGAATGAGGCGAAGGGATGGGGGGGGGACAGAAAGGGAAAAAAAGAAAATGAAAAGGAGCAATATTTATTGTAGCAAGAAGCTGTGTGTGGTGTTAATTTCAAATGAAAACGCTCAGTTATACAGATTACATATATCCATATATAATATCTACAGTAGATATTATTCAAATTATTCTGAGAAAAGAAAATGATGAAAGCTTTTGTCTAGTTTTCTCCTACTGCACAGTTTTCTTATGTAAACCAGACAAGCTTTCAGAAGGAAAAGGGTGTATAACATTGTGGTTAACCAGAACACACATCACTACAACATCTGGGGTCTGTTCTTCTTAAAGTTTCTCTTTCAAGAAAGGAAAAACAGTATCTGCTGAAAGGGTTTTGATTTTTACAATGTATTTGGAGCTTACCTTCACTGTTGAGCAGATAAGAATGTCCCAGGATAGTGACTGGTGATATCTTGTTAAAGGAGGTTTTAGACTTAACAGTCCAACCTGCAAAGAGAAAAGAAAAACGTTGGTGAAAGGACCTAAAAGCAGGAATCCTTACATGTACGTAAGCGTAACTTTTTCAGGCAGTAGCGTAACAGGCCATTACTCTGTTATAAAGGTGGCGAGAACCCTGGACTACAAACCATATTTGACGTTGTTCCATGCTGACATCATTTTGGCTTTGAGTCTGTCCATCTCATCTGGCTCTCTGGTTGCCTCTCTGCTGGTGTCTGGAGTTTGAGGCAGCCTGAGTCCAAAGCTGTTCTGGCGCTCTGGGGGCTGCTGCCTCCGACTTTCCACCAGCTCATCCTGCATCACTCCCCCGACGTACTGTGCTGCGCTGGGGGAAACTGAGTTCATCCCTCTGAACCCTCAGAGCTGAACTCTGGTACTCCTCATTCCAACACTGGACTGATGGAGGAAAGAGGAGAAAAGGAGCAAGAGACAAAGTAAAATATTAACTGTTCATACATCTTCATCCCTCACTTTATAATAATAATAATTCATTTTATTTGTATAGCGCTTTTCAAAAACTCAAAGACGCTTCACAGGATAAAAGCTTGAAACTCTTTAACTTATTACGCTTAGTATTTACTTGTTCTTCAACCTGTCAATACTGGCATTCTACTTTTCTTCTGGTACTTTGGTTTGCGCTGTATATGCAGCTTGTGTGTCCTGCAGAGAGTATTATTTTATTTAAATTCTTTATCTAAATAAAGGGCCTGAGAATAGAGAGCTATGTACATAAAAACATGATTTGACTGGCTGTGGTCAGATGGCTCTTGCTGCACATATTTATTTAGTATTTGAATAGTCTGTCTTAAACTTTACACATGCTGTCTAATCTCAAGCTCTTCAGAGGACAAACAGTTTTAAATTCAACAAATTGCAGTGGACAGGCTCACTTTAGTCAATAGGATTTCACAGATCGACTACATTTTTTTACACGTTTTTACTGACTGACTGATGTTAAAGACTGATGTTACAGATTAACTTGTTGTGATGCTCGTTTCTTGGTTATGTAATTTTAGTAGAAACTGCTGAAGTGCTGATGTTTATCTTACAAGAAACTGTCAAATTACATAAAAACTGTTGAAACTCTGTCCACTTGACAAACTAAAAAATTGACTGGCTGATAGTTGATGGACAGTAAATTGTTTTATAACATTAATTCGAGAAAAAATATTCTGCTGGTTCCAGCTTGCTAAAAATGAAAATGAGCTCCCTTTATTCTGTGATGTTTACGCTGAGTGTGAAAGTACATTGTTAGGGTTTTGGACTCAACCAAAACAAGTCAACCTAGATTTGACATTCTTTGATCTGAGAAACTTTGATGTCCATTTCCTACTGCATTTTGATTTTTTGCAACATTAACAATCTCTCCTCTGGTCTGAGTTTATGTATTCTTTTGACTCTAAATTGCCTTTTGATGCTCAGGTAACTGAAGCGGTACAGTCTTGCTTTGCCCAGCTAAGATAACTAAACCATGACCAGACCATTACTCTCCCTTGCAGACTTGAAAAATGCTTTCATCTCCTCCAGACTTGTCTACTGTAACACTCTTTATTGTGGTACTAGCATGTGATACATTAAAAGACTGCAGCTAATTCAAAATGCTGCTGCCAAGCTTTTAACACGCACCAATCTTTACTTCCTTTGACTAGTTACTAATGAGTTTAATAACTAAATTTAAGATCTTACTGCTTGTTTTTAAAGCTTTGAATGGTCCTGCCTACATCTGTGATCTGCTAACTCCCTGTGAGTCTTATCACTGCCTGCAGTTCCCCGAGCACAGCCCTACTCGAAGTTCAAAACTCTTACGTTGTTAGTAAAGTTTAGTTCAGGCCCCTCACCTCAACTCCCTGCATGGAGGTCTCAGCAGACAAAATCAATATCATCTTTTAAATCCCACAAAAGACTCACTGTTATTATATAGCTTCTTCTTAACTGTTGGTATTTGCTAGGGTTTACCTAATAATTATCTTGTGACATTTGCCATTTTGAAACTTATTTACTTGAACTATCTTGTTTTTATTGTAAAACACTTTGTAAGTTTCTTTATGAAATGAGTTGTATTGATACAATTATTGAGTAACTAAAATAATGTTGATCATATCCAGTGATTTTAAAAAGAAATAAAAATAGCAATTGCAGCCCTAGTCAAAAGTTCCTAAAAAAGCTATACACTGTATTTTTTGTTGTTCTTGTTTATTTTTTGTCAAATAGCTAGGAGCGAACTTTTAAGTTGTAACATCTGCAGGTCAAAGTCAAGTCCCGATTTTCCTAAAAAGCATAAACAAACCCAAATTTGTCGGCGTAAGCGCGAAAAATCAGTCAACTACTAATTTCACAATGCCCGAAAACGGTTTAGGAAAACACCAGCGACACTCCCCTGCTGCCCTGAAACTGATGAGCAGTAGTTTCAGCAGAGGACAGACAGTGCTACAGCGTGTAGTCACCGATCGCACTGATGAAAACGTTTCTGTGAGAAAAAAAAAAAAAAAAAAAGCCCTCATCATGTGATTACCATTTGACAACCGGTATGTCGAGCTTTTTCTGCGTCTGTGAAAGTCATCTGATTATGGTGGTCATTATCATTCACAGGGTAATATAGTTAGAGTGCTTTGCTGCAGAAATGCTTAAATATTACCTGTCACGACACGGACAGTGTGTGGTTTCTTTGAGTATGTCAGCTGGATTTCCGACCATTTCTAAACACCCAAACAGTAAATTCAATATCCTGTACAACAGGAGTCGCCGGTAGCGTAACAGTACACACTTAAACACACATTTTCCGCCTTAAATTATAGATTCACTAACCAATAACTACATACCTGATGCAGACGACGGTTAAGCTGGTCGGTACCTTGTAGTTGGTTCACTCATTTCGCCGATTTCCTCTCTGCTCGCATACGTCTGCAGTCTGACACTAGCTTGCTGAACAAGCTAACTTCAGCGGTATGAGACGCTAGCCCCGGCGTTACCTCGTTACACTCAGGGCTAATTCACCAAAGACTTTTATGATTTTCCAACAAAACACAGCTGATGTGAGGAAGGTAAGTGTTCCTCCATTTACCAAACGAAGTAATTTGTACACACATAGACGAAGATAAGCCGGAACATAGCAAGTCTGGATCCCTGGTCAGCCACCGCTTTGATAGCTCCCTGAGACAGCAGAGGGCATTTACTTCCTGTTGTCCTTTCCTGAAGAGACGCGATTGGCTGAAGTCATAAAGTGCGCGAAAGCTGATTGGATAATATTGCACTTATATCCATACCGAGGGTGCTATTAGCTAATATTAACTCCTACTGTTATGCAATCTGAACTTTGGGCTACAAATGAGCCAATAATAAATGTAAAATCTTCGTATTTGTGTTCATGTAAATTAAATTCCATTTCATTTAAAAAGTGCCAACTCACAACATGAGTCATCTCAAGGCACTTCACATAGTAGGGTGAAGAGCTTGCAATATTCTGTTATTTTTTGAATGTTTAATAAATACATCTTATTTGCACAGATTTAAAATAATGAGGGATGTTTCACTTTTGCAAATAAAAAAATCTGCATTTTTTTTTACACAACATTGCTGTCCTGCTTAAGTGACGTGAAGCCACAAACCCTTACTTTTTTATTGTTTTGGACTGAACTGCTGTCTGATGATCCTTCACCAGTGGTGGAGTGGAACAAGCACATTTACGCTTGTATTGAAGTACAAACTTGATACTTTTTTTGCGACTTCATACCACCATTCCACTACAAAATATCGTACTCGTTGCTGCACTACAGATGTTTAAATGTTGTAGTTCCTAGTTAACATACAAATAGTTTAATAACACATTATGTTTTGCTATCAGACTATTGAGGTAACAATGACAAAAAACATTTCCTGGTTTCAGCTTCTCCTTTGAGGATTTTCTTCTCTAAAGTTATGTTAATAATTTCATTTAATGTCTGAGAAAGCATTCTAAAGGTGCCACTTTGCACTTTGGATAATAATGATTGACTGTTTTACTGTTGTCAGAACCAATCAATGTAAAATTGCTTCATTGAAAAAACAACCAGCAGATTAATCAGTAATGAAATAATCATTAGTTGCTGCCTCATACAGAAAAGTTCAAATTAGATCCATGCAATCTGATGCAACATACAAAAACTGCTTACACATTAATGCACCAATTATAATCCAAATAAAATAAATTCCCTTATTATACTTTTATGTTACCTAATTAACATTTTCAATGACACGACTTTCATCTGTAATGGAATGTTTCATAGTACAACATTAATATTTTTTTTGTATTAAATCTGAGTACTTCAGCCACCACTGTAATTCCCAATTTTCCCTTTCTGTCCATCTTGGACTTTACACTTCATTTGGTTTTGTCAATAAATGATGTTAACCTCATTCTTGACCGGTTTGGTAGAAACAGAGCACTTTTTATTTACAAAGGGACCTGATTCATAAACTTTCACAGCAGGAGAAGCACTGGAGTATCTAATAACAATAATGGAGGCTTTATTCCAGCAACAATTGCACTTTATTAGTTGTTTATTAGTATAAATGCTATATAAAAAAAAAGGATCTATTTGTGGTATAATTTTCATATTCCTCCCTACCCAACCCACATCTAGACAGTAAGTCATGCAGGTGAGCTAGAATTAATATCACCAGGATCATTATTGGAATGCAGTCACAATCTGCTGTTAGTTTAGCTGTGATGGAGCAAGTAGTATTTTTCAGTGAAAATGTCCAGTAATTTATGATTATTTGCATGCACGCTGTAGCCAAACACGTGTTTACTCTGTTTAGGTCATATACACTAAATGCTGCTGCAGGATATATGATTACAGCAAGAAAAACGTGAGATGCTGCACATTTTTGGAACAAATCTCTGAATTTTATTCCACATACTGCACTTCAGGTGTCTGCATTTAAATCACATCTATCACAAACAAAAATGCCCCAGTGGTACAACTAAATACACTTTCAGTGAACAGAGAAATGTGGAATGTTTTTATACTTGGACTCCTGTGTTCATTTGTAGAATCCTTATTTGTATACAGGATAGTTACTAGTAACTTACGAACAATTCCATCAAATAAAGATTTTTTTTTTCTTTCAAATAAAGTGCATTTCTACTACTCTCTCTGTCAATCACGAATAGAAAAAAAAAAAAAAAAAAGAAATTTTCAAACATGTAACACTAGTATAGACACCACTGATTGGGAAAAGGCCTGAAAGTGTACATCATTGCTGTATACGATTACAGTTAAGTTTTCTGAATCGGGTGATTAGAGCTGACCTGATGACTCCTTTATTATATCAAGATATAAAAGGACTCCTTCCTGTCAGTACAATATATAAGATAGTATATTTAAAAATGTATTCCCTATTCCCAAAGATATAATTAACAGTCACGTGAAGAACACAACGGAAAAACAATAAGTCATGTTTCAAGTGTTCATTTGATAATTACTGCAAATATTTTGTCATTAGAAACATAAATGCATATTCAGTAATCCCTATGGCTAATAACATCCATTCTGCAGTAGATCAGTGGTCTAAGCTTCAATAAAGAAACTCATTCTCAAACAGAAAGTTCATTATGCTCACTACTGTATATTATGAACCACTGGAGGGCAGTAGAGTATTATGTTGAATAAAAAACAAAAACAAAAACAAAAAAAAACTCACTGATGCATGTACTTCATGGGACATGTTTTTATCTATTGACAGGTTATGTGGGAGCATCATATGCTGCCCATGAAGCAGAAATCAGCTCCCCACAGAAATCAGCCACTCACAGCTGACTGTTTTGGTTCTCCAGACAGATGAAACAGTCCTGTCAGCTCAACAAGCAACTGCTCCTGGCAAAGCTGTTCAATGAACACTCAGTCCGAAATGGTCGAGAGTAAAAGCTGAAGAACAAACTTGAACGTTAAGCCAGATGAATCACTTGTTTGAAGTTAATCTTTGAACTTCTGCCTCGCTGTCACATTTCCATTCTTGTTGTTGGCTGAATCATTTTACATTTGGACCTGGATTGATCAAAATAAATCAAATCATTGGCAGAAGTTGACATTTAACAATCAAAGCTAGATTTTACCCCTCTGTCTACCCAAGTCCTCTAAGGAACTAGTAGTGCTGCAGTGACAGCAGCCCTCACAGACAGCTGTAAACAATTTGCATAAGATTATGTACACTGGATAATTACTAAGTCATGAGCTATAAGGAAGTGATTATGACCAATGAGAGAGAGCAACATAAATTGTTTGTCCTGTGAGCATTTGTCAGGTGATTGACCTTTTATCAGTATGTTACACAGCAAAATGTGAGCAAATGTTATAATTATCAATCTGGACGAGCGAACTTGCAGTACCTAACTACACAGTCATTCTAATTAAACTGTAGATAACCTTGTTTTTACAATAACAGGTTCCACGTCTATATGCACAAACCTTTACCTTAGCTAGAGAGCCCTTTAACAAATAAATTACTATATGCTACATCCACAACTGCCTGCTCTTCCTATTTTGGTGACTGAAAACAACACATTGGGTTCACTGTGCATGTGTTTATACCACATCCTTATGCTTTTACATACTATACTCATATAAGCAACCTCTATTGTGCCAGAGCAGATTGCTGATCAAGCAGCAGAGGATTTCCTTGTCGTTCCTAAAATTCTGTAATTTTTACTGGATCCAGTCTGGTTTCTGTCATGAAGTTTGCTGAGTGGACCATGATGAGTGTAATGACCTCCTTGGAAAGACACATACACACTTTCAAACTCACTTGCTCGCAAACACACTCGTGCCCTGACTGGTGGACCACAGGGGCAGGAATTTAAATGCATGAAAATCAGCTGCTGACGCCGTCATCTCCTGTGGCAATACAAGTGTTTGCGAGTGTGTGTTGCTGCTGCAGTCAGAGGCGAAGGGAGAAAAAGGCTGTGGTAGCCCTCCTGCGAAGGGGAGATAAGCGCTGAGCCTGAGCTCTGTCATTCCCCGTTTTCCTCTGCAGTAGGACACAAGCCTTCAAGAACCATCAGAAATAGACCCAGGGTGTCCAAACACACAAAAACACAGACCGAGCTAGACAGGAGCTTGATGTAACATCCTCTGACAAAGTACCCACTTTGGCTTTGTCTGACCACTCAGAGAAAGTAAACTGCTGGATGATGAATAAACGAGCTCAAGCATCTTCACTGTTGCCGAACGGTGTGCTGTGTGTTAATTTGTGTTGCTGGATGCAAATATTTGACAGTTTCACTCTCCTGGTTCAAAAGCGGTAAAAAGAAGAAAGGGCTGGTTGAGAGACAAAATAGTGTGACTGGATTTGGTATTCACAGTATTCAGCATGTTTTGATCGGTAAAGCACTTTTTGACCTTCTTGTACCTATTATACATGTACAGTACATACCATATGACATGCGTTCACATAGACCCACACATATACATCTGATAAAGTGTTTCACGTTACATTAAGAGTCTTCTTATTAAATTATTAATAATAGAAAATCAACAGTTAATGCACCTTTACAGTAGTTTTTTTTCTCTCCTGGTTTTAAGTTAGATTCAGTCAATGATTGGAATCAATAAATAACATTTTATATACTCTGAAACTGGAATGTACATTGTTTTTAAGTGCTTGTCATCTGTTGCATTGTTCCTCCAAAAAAAGGCATAATTTTTTTTGGTCTTTTTTCTTTTTTTTTTTTAAACTAAAATCCCAATTAAGAACCCTGCAGGGTCACATTTTCGGCGGGCTGCTACCTCTTGCAGCTTTATCTAGTGGTGAACCAGCAGGGCTTTGGGTCACTACTGCAGCCCCAACAACCACTCGACCTCCAGCAGGAGTGTCAGACTTCCCTGCTGCGCCACCCTGCTTCTCCTCTGCTGCCTTAGTTTGCTGGTCTTTGCTCTTGGCCCCCTCCTGAGAGCCGAGCTTGATTGGCCCAAGGACGTTTTTGGCCACAGTGGTCAGCTGGCTGACGAAGCTCGTCTTGTCGCCGGGGGAGACAGGCCTTGACTTACAGAGGGAGGGTCCGCAGAGGGAGGGGGTTACCGCGGTCGGGGAGGGAGAGGGAGAGGGCGAATGCTCCTCCACCACCTCCAGGCGACACTTATCCTCCCAGTCGAGGGTTCCCCGGTAGCAGTTGACTGGACCGAGTCCCTGCCTCACCTTTCCCAGTGAGAGTGGCTGCCCATGTGGGGGAACAACCGGAGCGAGGACCCGAGTTGGCAGTTTGGGGCTTTTGGAGCCGAGGTCTGGAGTCCTGGAGTCACTGTTGTCGGCCTTTCTCAGGTTGTCCCCTGTACCTGATGGTTTAAAAGTTTTGCTCATGCTTAAAGCACCTCCTGCCACTGCTGTGGGGATACCACTGGTTTGGTCCACAGCAGAAGCTGAGCTCCTACCAAAAGCAGCACCAAGTAAACCGGACCTACTCCTGTTGTCTCTGTCCTGCTTTGGTTCAGGTCTGCCTGCCAGCTGCTGCTCCTGGAGATCTCTGCTGTTTGACAGCAAACCTTTGCCCACCTTGGGGTCTAGTTGTTTTGGAGGTATGTCTGTCTGACTCTTCTGACCACCTAAGCTTCCTGTTTTGGTAGGGGTGCTCGGAGTTATAGCTTTAGTGGTTTCTGCACCCAGTCTCGAGCTTTGCGAGTTCAAGGGCAGCTCACTTGATTGAGGTTTTCTCACTAAGGATGATTGTGGTCCAGTTGCTCCGACTCGACTTGTCCCAGCCTCTACCTCCCTCTCTTTCTCCCTCTCCCGTCCTCTCTCCCTCTCCTCCCTCTCCCTTCCAGCCAGCAGCGTTTCCCTGCTAAGTGGTGACTCCTGTCTTCCCAGTCTCCTCACAGGCTTCAGCACACCAGTCTCTGGAGTGGATGACAATGAGGGTAGAGGCGGAGGATTAGGAGGCAAATTTTCTCCATCTGTCTCCAGCAGGCTCTGGAGCCCGAGCTCACAGAGGAAGGCATCCTTCCGGTACTCAGAGTGCTGCACCTCCAGGCTATGTTTCCTCAGTGGCCCCCCAAGCCCTCCTGTAGAGCTGGACTGGGTCAGCGGTGAGCCCAGTTTCTCTGCTGACTGCACCCGCTTGAGAAGAGGCGATCGCGGTGGCTCCGCACTCTTGGGCCTGGGACGGACCACCGGCGGCGAGGAGTGGAGCTTGGCGGGGAAGGACTGGGTGGTGTTGGAGCTCCCGACGGTGTGGCCGGGCAAGGGTGGAGGAGAAGACTGGGTGGGTGAGGGTGTGTGGGCCAGCGGGGAGAGGGGTATGTTACCGGCAGATTTACACCGGGCAGAGCGATACTGGCGGTGCAGTTTTGGGGAGAGGCCGTGCAGCGAGCTAGGCCTCATGTGCTGAGAGGGAGCGGGAGAGTTTGGAGTGCTGGAGGCTGGAGAGCTGCTCTGGGAGGAAGCACCTAAAGAGAGCAGAGAGGCAGTGAAGATGTGAAGAATCCCTGAGGAAAACGCACACATTTGATTTAAAAGTAAAATATATTCTAACATTAAAAGCTCACTTTCCAAGAGACGTGCTTTGTAAATTTGGAACTCCCAATTCTCTGCTCTAAAAATGTAGTTGCTCTGTGTGCAGTTGCTACACTGAAACTGATCTGAGAGTGTATCTATTGGGTATTTCCAGCGGCCTACCCAGGTATGACGGCTCAGGGGTGGAGCGGTAACCCTGAGTCGGGGATCTTGCAGACAGGCTGTGAGTCGGGGAGCCAGGAAGACTCTCACTGGAGGACAGAGAGCGATTCAAAGAGGACAGACTGCGGCTGGTATGGAGAAGGTTGGACTGCTTGGTGATCTTACGGAACAAGGAGCTACGCTTCTTACTGCAGGATAGACAGAGAATAAAAAGACAGGAAACACAGGTTTAAATTGGGGATGACACATACTGAAACTATTTCAGTATAGTTGCAGTTTGCAGTCTTTCATGTAAAGCACACTAGCTACAAATCATATATACGTTACATTGCTGACTATTCCCCCCATGTATTGTTGGATCAGTTCTCTACCTTAAAGGTGGTCACTTATTTCCATTATATCACCTGCCATCTTTTCATGTTCCTTTGTTTTGTCAAAGTTTTGACAATTCCCCTTGCTGCTGCATTAAAGATACCCATGATCTTTGACAATAACTGAATAAGAGTAGAAGTTAAGAACATTATTTTTTTTTAAAAATGTTTTCTTTATTTAGGATCATTACATGTCAACTATACTATCATCACGGGTTACATTCTTTTACAGTCTGACCCTTTTTCTTTTTTTCCTTCTTTTTTTCCCCCATATGAATACACATCATATTACAACATTAATTAGAACAGAACATGGGGTGTTGCATAAAAATAAAACTACAGAAAAAGACACAAACACAAAAACACACAAGCAAGATGTTTAGTAGGCTTCTTTCTTTTTAAACATAGGTCAGGCATCTTGGGAAAATATACATTTTATGCCAAATTGTAATACTCTTTAATTTCCCAATGTACAATATCACATAAAATACAAAAAAGGTACCATGGGGGACTCTATAAAAAGGCAGCAAAATTATTGAAAAATCAGGAAATCCTTAACGAAAAATTTCCAAACAAAAAAAATATTGGAGCTGGGAACTTGTTCTTTGGTCCAGCCATTCCTGGGACATGTGAGCCTTGTCTGGTGAAGGCACAGTCTTCGCATCACTGACAGCTGTGGCAGAGATTGAAAAAAACTGCATTTTTTGAGAGGGGAAAAATTAGCAATTTTTTTTTGACTGTATGAATTTTCTTGGAAAGACGACATACCAGAACCAAACTGTGCCTTCACCAGACAAGACTCACATGTTCCAGTACTACAATTTGTCATACAGTGTTGCACTTTTACATAAATTGATGAAAACTATATTTTATCCGGAATATTATATCGGATAAAATATACCCGGCATTAATGATGGTGTTGCTAATTTTAACGTTAGTGTGCTCTTGTATTTCCTTTTCAGTCAGGTATTTCACTGATTTTCTGGACATTTCTTCTTTTTTCCTCTCTCTGAGTGCTACAACTTCACTTGTAGCTAGCTAGCTAAAAGCTTAGCTTTAGTAGAAAAAAAGAAATCTGCGTAGCTAATGACTACAGATGTAAATTAACATTAGCTACATGTTACTCACTTGTTAGCATGCCTGAGTAACTAAGCCTGTGACAGGATGACAGCTATGTGGAGAATGTGGCCGGCCTGAATGTTGTTTCCCTTGAAAAGTGCAAAGAGCGCCTGATTTCAACACAAAAACACTAACATTGGGTAAATGCCACCCATGAAATATGACATCCTCTACCACTAACGTCGGGTGAAAATCACCCGAACGCATGCCTCTTGAAAAAACCATAGATGGGAGGTGGGAAACAAACATACCATTAATGACATCAATGAGCAGCATGAAGCTACCCAAGGACCCATGCAAATCAGACAGCAGCAACACAATGAAAATCACATGACAAAAATCGTGCAGGTGAAAATCACCTGACGTTAGTGTTCTCGGGTTAAGTGTCTGAAAATCATTCATTTTACCCTGATCAAAAAAAGTGCAGTATGATGAAAGGCCCTGATGCGCCCATCCTTTATAGCTTACGTCCAGTTTGTTTGGGGTAAAATCGATATCGTGAGAGCACCAATTAAGAATCTTTATCTCCTCCAATAGGCCGTATTTAGTAATAACATTTAACCAAACTTTCAGAGATAAATTGATCCAGTTATTACCTATTTCCACTAAGATTTTAATTAGTCCTTTATCTTCAAACCTAGCTTGAATAGTAACTGCCCTGGACACATTCTCTTCAATTTCTTTCCATCTGGCTTGGTAGTCAGTGTTGCACCAACAACAGAGGATCCTCAGCTGGGCCACTTTATAATAGTCCTTAAGGCAGGGGAGTGCAAGTCCACCCCTCTTCTTTGTCAGTTGAAGAATTTGGAATTTTATCCTAGGTTTTCTTCCATGCCAAATGTATCGTGACAATAATTTATCCCATTCATTAAATTATTTGTCAGTTATTTCAATTGGAAGAGTCTGAAACTAATACAAAATTCTTGGCAGGATATTCATTTTTACAGATTCAATTCTTGACTCAAAGCTTAGTACTGGTATCAAATTCCATCTTGTTATGTCTTCCTTTAATTTTTGACTTAACTGGTTAAAGTTTAGAGCATATAGACTTGTCAGAGCTTTTGGTCTGTTTACTCCTAGGTATCTCATATATTCTTGGTCCCACTTTAGTTTGGTATTAGATTTTATGGTCTGGCTTGGCTTATATTGAAAATTTAGGACTTGGGTCTTTTTAATATTTAAACTGTAATCTGAAACGGAGCTAAAAACATCCAAAAAAGACAATATTTTCAAAATTGAGGTCTCTGGGTTTGTCAAATAAATTAAAACGTCGTCCGCATATAATGAGATTTTATGTTCCTGGTTGAACATTTTTATACCTACAATCTTATTGTCCTGAACGACCCCCTGTCTTAATGCTTCAACAAACATTGCAAAAAGTAGTGGATTGATTGGGCAGCCTTGTCTGGTCCCTCTCTCTAGGTCAAATGAGTTTGATATGGAGCTGTTAATTTTTATCCTTGCCCTTGGATTGCTATACAATGCTTGAATAGTTTTAATAAACGTCTGGTGAAAACCAAATTTCTGTAGTACTCTATATAAAAATTTCCAACTCACTCGATTAAATGCCTTTTCTGCGTCAAGACTCAATAATACTGCCTGAATTTTATTTTTAACTATAAGATCAATCACATGCAATGTTTGGCGAATATTATCCTGTGTCTGCCTTTGTTGAATGAAACCCGTCTGATCAAAACTTATTATCTGGGGAAGGATATTTTCAATTCTTTTTGCCAAAATATGGGTAAAGATCTTATAATCTTGGTTCAATACACTTATCGGTCGATAACTTCCACACTCCAGCTTATCTTTACCCTCTTTTGGTATCAGAGAGATCACTGCCTCTTTCCACGAGGGGGGAGTTATGCCTGTTTTTATCACATGGTTATATGTGGCCTTCATTGTAGGGATCGAATGGTCTTTCATTTCCATATACCACTCTGATGGGAATCCGTCCGGCCCCGGTGCCTCATTGGGTTTTAAATGCAATATTGCCTTTTTAATTTCTTCATCTGTAATTTAATTGATAAGCAGTTTATTTTGTTCGTCTGTCACATTGGGTAGTTTAATCACATCAAAAAAGGCTTCCATCTTTAATTCATCTATTTTGGGTTGTGTATATAAATTTTTGTAGAAAGTTTCAAATGATTGTTGGATATCTTTTGCTTTGTGCTGTATGGAGTTTGCCAAAGGATCCCGTATTCGGAATATTGTGTTCTCAGCCTGCTGTTTTTTTAATTTGTAGGCGAGTAGTTTAGCCGATGTCCCCCCTGCCTCATAGTATCTTTGTTTTAGGAAGATCATCTTCTTTTTAATGTCATTTAAATAGATTTCATTTAACTCATTTTTCTTCCTGTCTATTTCTTTTCTTATTTCTTCATTTAATGTCACTTCATGTATGTTCTCTAATTTCTTTAAATCGGTTTGTAAACTTTCCCATTTTTCTTTCCTCTGCTTTTTTAAATTAGCACAGTATCCTATAATTTTTCCCCTAAGGACCGCTTTGGATGCGTCCCAAAGAATCAGAGGAGATACTTCCCCATTATCGTTTTCTTCAAAGTAATTTTTAAAATCTGTTTTTATTTGCTCCCTTATTTGATTTAGAATTCCAGTATTCAGCCTCCAAATTGTGTTTTTCTTTTTAGTGTGTTTTTTCTTTCCACTAGAACCTCCTCCGTGGACTGGATACGGGTCTCGGCTGTGTCAATTCGCTCCTCTGCTTCCTCCATTCTTTTGTCGATTTTCTTAATATCCTCTTTTATGCCGTTAAGGTGTTGACTGAAATCCCATCTAAATTCCCGGAGCTCTGTCAAGATTAAGCCCAGGCTAGCTTCCTGGCTCGGCCCAGCGGCGGTGTCAATCTGCAGGTCATCCTCCATGTTGCTAGCGCTGCTAGCTTGTGACAGTTCGCCTTCCTCTTCTTCGTCGTGTTTATTTCTTCGTGTTTGTGTTTTCTTCACTTTTTGGGGCATGTTCTTTCCCCTGCTGTGTCCCCCCTTGCTGTAACACGTCTTCGAGAAAATTCGACTTATATACGGACACTTTTACTTCCCACAATCGGGAGCCTATTGCTCTATGCTGCCATCCTATAACGCGCCAGACCGGAAATGCAAATGCAAATCTCAAGACACACATTGCAAACAAGATAGCTACTGTGCATATTGTACTGGATGCAAGACCAGCTCCTCTCCTTTCTCCTACCATTATAATGATGTACAATGTGTTCATGTAACAAGAGATCAGCTGAGACCCCAGGACAATGCAGCCAGTGATGCAGGTGTGTGAGCTACCTGTCCTGGCCGTCTTTTCCCATCGTCCTCTTGTGTCGTCGGGCCATCTTACACTTGTAGCTGGCCTTGCGAGCAGGGCCCACTTTAATGGAGGTGTTCTCAAAAGGTGTAGTTGTCACCGTCACCTTGTTGCCACTCTGCACAGAAAAATGACAGGACATGACTGATACTTAAAATTTTCCACAGAAAAGCGTATGTACATGCAGCTCTTGCCTTAGCCTGATTTTTTTAAAGGTAGTTACTAACCTTCCAAACCCCAAAACCTGCTGGTGGGTTTGAAAGGCATCTTGTATGTATGCAATTAAGCTTAAAATTGTGATATTGCACAATTCAAAATCACTTTATTTGACAGGTCTCATTTAAAAATCTACCAGAAATAAACTATTTGCATTAATCAGATTCTGTAAAATATAAAATTAAAAATTCTGCACTCCTCGCCACAACAAAGACGCCATTAGTGACTCAGTTGTACCCAACTAGGCTGAACTGCAGGCTGTGTTTACACAGAGCAGAAAAGAGACAAGTGTTGAAAAACATGAAAATCTAAGTAGTAAAATATCCAAAGTATCCCAATTTGTCCAGTATTGGTAATAACTTGAGGCACTTGGAAAAACTGTGTATATGTTAATTCCATGTTTTTTTCATTTTTTTAAATAAAAGAAATAATCAAAGAAAGTTTTTTTTTTTCTCTGGATTTTCTTATTTATGGCATTCTAACATAGTCATACTGTATAGAAGTCATTTTTGAGTTCCCTCTATTATTTGACATTTTTTTGTGCTGTTTCCACTTGGAAAAATTAAAATGAGCTCACAGTCAGTAAAAATGTGTCAGGAGCGAAAACCACTGAAACATTATTACATTATTATATATAACACAGTACAGCTGAGCATTAATAATCGTACTGATGCCGACCTTGAGGATGAGCTCTACCACTTCAGTGTGGACCAGACCGTGGACAGGCTCCCCGTTGACATGAGTGATGAGGTCACCGGCACACAGTCCAGCTTCTTGGGCGGGACCTCCATCCTCCACATGCTGCCAATATGAGCAAAATACTTAGGTTTAGAAGAGGGAAAATCACTTGCATGTAAACATTCAGAGAACAGAGCGTAATTATCTTGTTTGAATGAACAGCTCTGTTATATCTCAAGATGAGCCGTATGTTTTCAATTCAAATTGTGTATATTTGTGTACTGTGAGATTAGAGCAGCGGTTCCAAAGCTGAATGAATGAGATTCTTGCAAGAATAATAGGCAAAGAAAATGGCTCTTTTGCTCTATTCAGCCTGATAAGACTTAATTGGATGGCAACATATTTAAATGTGCATCAGAAATGAGACAAATCACCAAGACTTCAATATTGTTAGATATTGCCACAGCAAAACTGTACAGCTTTACTTCTGCCCTAATCCTTCTCTGCACTCTTTGTACAGTTTAATCAGTTTTTTGAATTTACTGAATCCCATTAAATCCCACCGCAACTTTAAAACACACACTCAAAAGTCAAAGCACAAGTCATCCCCCATTATATTAAATTTATTCACTTGCAGAAAATGTCACTGATGTCACGGCCGTTGGCGCCGACTAGTGGCGGTACTCCCCCTCCCTCCTTTCCCTTCCTCCTTTTCCTCTAGGTGGGCGTGAGCGGCAGTGCAGGCGGCGCTGATGGGTTACACCTGTGCCTCATCTCCGTGCAATCAAGCTGAGGAGCCACACCTGGGTTTGACTCGCCACTTCACTCTCTCTGCCAGTACTTAAACCAGCTCCAAACCATCAGCAGAGGCCGGACCGTGATCAACTGATAGTCAGTGTTTGTTCTAGCTCTCGTTTTGCTCCGTGCCTTGCTTGCTCTGTGGCTAACTGTCTCTCCGCTTCCCCAGGACTCCACCAGCCAGCGTGTGTGCTCCTCCAACCACCCTCATCTTCTCCCTCCGTTCCCTGCCGGACTCCCTGTTGCCGTCTCCCTGGTTTCCCGTCCTCACCACCGTTCTGCTGCGCCGTCTGCATTCCGCTCCGCCTGCCTTCCCCGCTCCCTCTCCGGTTTCCCTCAGCTAAGTTATTAGCCGCTAGCTTCGTGTGTTTTTTAGTATAGCTTCGTGATCCTTAGTTTCTTTAGTCTAGTTTATTATTCCTGTTATAGCCTCGTGTGCTTAGCATAGCTTCGTGATCCTTGGTTTCTTTAGAGTAGTTTATTATTCCTGTTATAGCCTCGTGTGCTAGTATAGCTTCGTGATCCTTGGTTTCTTTAGAGTAGTTTATTATTCCTAGTTATAGCTTCGTGTGTTTTAGTATAGCTTCTTTATCCGAGTGTCTCACTGAGCCTTATTTGCTTAGTCTCTTTTCGTTCCTCGTTCTAGCTTAGCTTTCGTTTTCTTAGCCTTTTGTTTGTATTAGCTTCTTACCCGCTTTACCACTCGTGTAGTTTTAGTTTCAGTTCCCGAGTGCGTTTTTCGTTATCGTTAGTTTTAGGTTGGCTTTCCGTCTGTGGTCTTACCACCAGCTTGGTTAGTGTTTGTTTTCTTGCCCTATTGTAAAATAA